TTAAAAGTTCTCAAAAGAACTAGCTACACTTGTTAAAACAAAACCTTCAAGAGCTCTCCGCTCTGAGCGACCCACATTCACGTACAAAAGTCTATTTACCATTTGAACTGCAATTAAGTTCGTGCGATCAGCGATCAGCGAGTGGAAATTCGTTACACAATTGTTCGTGTGTTGCCCTTTTGGATGTGGGGCCTCAATTAAAGTGTGGCTACGAGTATAATGCAAATACGTCGTGGAAAATCAGTGAAATAAACATAATCATTGCCATTTGGCCATTTGGTCTGTTGATCTGTTGCAATTCTTAGACAAAAAGCAAGAGCTCCCCTGGTCTCTGGGAGATTTCAATTATTTATTTTAATTCGTTTGTCACTGCTCGGACACGGGGCTGAGTGACAGACTGGCTGGCAGCATTATGGAGCGACGACTGACTGACTCCAACAGAGAGTGGGGGGGGGGGGAGGGAGAGAGGGGCTTTGGGCTTTAACTTCGCACAAGTCAATTACGAGCAGAGATCTGAGATGGGGAGAGATCTGAGGGATCTGTTGGGTGGCTTGGCGAATTAAGTAAATTAAATTACAATGAGAACATTGTTGGGTCGCTGTCGAGTGGTGGTGGCATGGCAGCCTCATTATCTGCATTTAACATAAATTTTTCAATTATTATGCGATTCAAAGTGCACTCAATGTCGCAGCTAGCTGTTGCTCGTTGCTCGTTGTCGTTGTCGTGCATACTTCTTGCACTCACTGTGCGATACTTCAGGAATTCCAAATTAAAGTTGTGTTTTTTGTTTGTTGTTTCCTTATTTTTCACACACACACACACACACGCTACAAGTGGGGCATACTTTGTGTTCCTTATGACAAAAAATAAGGAAGTAATTTTCAGCAATATATATTCCTGATATAAAAGCTCACGAATGTCTCACGCACAGCAACGATCGAGTTCTTAATATTTTATTTTGTATTTGTTGGATTTGTATAAGGATCTGGGAGAATATATAGAAGCTATGAGAACAAAAATTGTATAGATACGAGACTCACACTCCAGAGAATCACACATAGAAACAAAATTAAATCTCCCCTGCTGCTTGGATACCCTGAAGCTTCATTCAATGATCGAGTGTAACAAGTATCCCTCAGTCGATAATATCGAATTCTAGAGTTCTTATTTATTTCTTCCTCGCAGGTCGCAAAAGCAATTTAAATGCATTTTATTTGCTGCATCTTTTGCGCCTGGTTTTGCCTTTACTTTGTGGCACGTTTTATTTTCGCTTTTGCTGCTTTTGTTGCAGTTGCTCTTTTTTTTTCTGTACGTCTCGTCTCTGTGTTGTCGCAATTTTGCCTGAAAATTGGTGCAGATCTGACCCAGTTTTTTGGTTGCAGCAGCAGCAGTTGCAGCAGAAGAGGATGGACTTGTTGCTCGATTTGGCAGCTGCAGTCAACAAAGAAAGAGCAACAAAAAACATACTAACCACTGTGCATGCAACAGCATGCTGCACAGTGAGAATTTTATTAACCACGAAGGAACGAAGGAAGGAACGAAGGAATGAATCATTCAGAATAATCTCTCAACAGGAATTCACTTCCAGCCAAATGAGGCTCATCAAACAGGAGAAGGGCATCTAATGAATGGGCAGTGCTGGCTGGGATTTATTCGAATCACTTCAATTAATAAATAAATGATTCATTAATAAAAATGTTCATTCACTCTGTTTGAGTGTCTCGTGAATGCGAAAGAAGTTTTCATTTTGATTGAATATTTGGTGGAAGAGCTTTCTTTTCACAGCAAAATAAATTTGGGAATTAAGAAAAAAAGAAAAGATTAAAAAATAAACAAAATTGAAATTGAAATCCCATGGCTTTTGATTATTCCAATCGAATTGTTTCTTTGGCTGACTCAAAGACAGACTTTGGCTATCGCAAATAAAAGGGAACAAAATAATTGTATTAAATAAATAAAATACATTAAAATACAAATAACACTTAATTAATAATTTGCAACGATCCAAGAAACATATATTTAAGTGCATAAATCATGGAATGGTCTAGTTTATTATTAGTTACATTGTTCAATGTAAAATGAATGTCTGCCTGAATCTGTAAACTATAACTGGATATTCGCAGTTGTTCGTTGTGAATGGATCACGCATTCAAAGGCTGCAACGTGAGTGGAATAATCATTCACTGGCGTACAACGACAACAACACAAAACGGTTCACTTATGTATATTATTTACTACAAAGTTTCTCTACTTTATAAATGAATCATTCATTGATTTACCACTGAATAAATATAAAACCCCAAAGCTCTGCTTAAACTAGGATTTATATGAATTAAAAAACTATTTAAGAACCAATTAAATTGCATGGCAGTTAGCAGAATAATAATTTAAAATAATACTTGGATGCAGTGTAACGTGTACATTGTTGGCCACAATTTGTTCTGCACACAGGTTAAAACTAATGTATGCATATTTATGCCCGAAAGCCCAAAGAGCTGACTCTATTCGGGGAATTGCTTTTACCTGTTGTAGAGCTGTTGTTTCTAGTGAAAATTACACAGAATCGTCTCTCATTTAATTTACGGAATAAATCGTTAATTGCAGTTTAAGTGGAATAACTGCACACTTTTGACATTTCCTTGGAAAAACAACCAAAATTCAGGAAATAAATCGGGCGAAAATTTCCTGTTATATATTTGTAACATTTAAAAATATTGGAGATTATTTTTTTACACAGCAAATGGCGATTCGGGTCACTTGCCTCAATAATGCAGGATACGCACATATGTGCATACATTGTACATACTGTATGGAGATGTGTCTGTATGTATGTATGAATAATCCCCCCTCCCTCAATAAGTGCAACAAGGCATGACACATGAGTAAGAGAGGCGATGGAGCAGCAGCAGCAGCAGCAGCAGCAACAGAAGTGCAACAAGCAGCCTCTATCCAAAAACCTGCTCCTTCGCTCAGAATTAAGTTCTGTTTTTCGCTTTTTTTTCTCCTGAGTGCATACAAAGTTTTGTGTGTTCTTTTTTTGGATACCCTTGCAGCAGGGAGTCTGATAAATATTCATAGAAGGCTGCTAGCTGCAGACAAAAAACCATATTTACATATTTTTACTTGCGATTTATTCTGTCATAAAATATAACCCGAATGATGTTTATCAAGGGATACAAACAAACAAAAGGAATTATGCAGAAATAAATTTCAATGCTGCCAGCAAAAGAAAATCTATGCTTCAGACTACTTTTTGGAAGAAAAACTTTTTTCAGAAAACTGAACTTGTTCTTTTGCCTTTTTTTCCAGTAAAAAACTCAAAACTGAAACTAAAAAATGTACGCTCCAATTTTCCTAGGGTGTGTTGTATTTAATTATTTGTTTTTTATTTATTTTATTTTGCACTTTATTTTTTTAGGGTGTGCTGTATTTATTTAATTATTTATTTTATGGTAATTCAATATTTATTTCAATTTTATTTATTTGAGTTCGTGGCTGAGTTACATCGATTTCGTTTGAATAATTTATATTGTAGATATTCAAAGTGAGCATATTTTTCATCGTTTTCCATTAACTATTATTATTTTTGTTTGTTGTTTTGTTTACTTATTATTTCATTTGTTTATTATTATTTATTTATTATTTTTTATTTATTATTATTTATTTATTATTATTTATTTATTAAAATTTATTTATTATTATTAAATATTATTTAAAGCAAACAAAATTTGTATCCATGAGGAGAAACTCTTATATACAGGGTATCTATACATTCGATGTTTACGTGCATTTCCCATTCATTTCCTGTAGCCTTTTCTCAGTTATTTTTTTTTTTTGGTCTTTTGTTGATTTTTGTGTGTGTGTGAGTGACTTTCATGCAAGTTTAAGTTCTTGATGTATCTGTGCAAAATGTGCCCCAAATTTTAAGGTGAAATTGCATTTTTGGACTGTTTTTTGTTTTTTTTTTTGTATGCAGCCTAAGGTAGGTAGGGGATGCCGCAGGATGCGAGCTCCAACCATAAAGCAGATGCTGCAGCTTGCAGTTTTTTACCCCCTCCCTCTCTCTCTCTCTCTCACACTGTGTCGCTTAGCCTGGAAAGCCAATTGATACCCTAGTTAATCTCTGGCCAAAGAGACAGCGGGGGGAATAAAGTACGGGTAGAGTTGGAGAACGGGTTTGTAGGCCGATGGGTAATCAATTAGGGCAGAATATGTGGGGCTAGGAGTTGTGGCCGTTTCCGTTGGGTGTCAGCCGCAAATTAAACCGCAGCAGCAGCAGCAGCAGAAGTTTTATGGAGTAACTTTAATGTGTACTAAACTTTAAGCAAGTTTTAATTGAGCATCAACTAAATGACGGTGCAAAATATCAAAGATGGGCTAACTTTTTATCTATTTCAACTCAACATTTCCAATAAACCAGCGCATACATACAGTCAATATTTTTGTTATTTACAATTATTATTATTAATATTATTATTATTATTAATATTATTATTATTGTTATTATTATTGTTATTAATTTTGTTATTATGTTATTATTGTACCATATTGTATGAGGATCTGTAATCTGCTTATAGAATTGTTCTACCCAAAAACCACTCCAATTTAAATCTAACTGCAAATGGAGTAAACATTTTCCTGAGCTTCTCATAATTGAAAAGCTCAAAAAAGATTATCGGTTTGGTTGTGTGTTTCCAAACAAAATATTTTAATGAGGATTGGCAGAGCTTATGCAGCGCATTAAATGTGCATTCAGCGAGCATTAAATGAGCATTATATTGAATTTATTTTAATATTTATTATGAAGTGTAAATAGAGCTTGCAACGATAGAGATTTTCATGAAAATTGCAGCCTTTTGACTGCCAACACTTTCCCCGCTACAAAATATAATAATAATATATATATATATATATATATATATGTTTGTATGCATGTTGTACCTGGTACTGTGTCTGTGTCTTGTAACTGAAAATTGGGTCACTGTTGATTGAAAACTCACCTTTTGGCATCAACTAAAATGCTTTTGCCCATATTGGCCAGGCCATTGGATGACGTTAGATTATCCGTACTTGGTATTGTCGTTTGTGATGTGTGCGTAAATTCTGAGGATGTTGAGCTGGCAGATGATGTAGAAGCCGACGACGACGACGCCGACGACGCCGACGACGCCGACGACGCTGACGACGCCGACGACGCTGACGAAGACGATGTTTTTTCTTCTATATCTTTTGTTGTTGCTGCTGCTAGTTCTGTTGCAACTTCAGATGTTGCTGTTGTGGCTGCTGCTGCTGTGGGCTCTATTTCGATTTGAAGCCGACAATCGGCAACAATTTTGGCCAGATTCCGACGACTGGCACTCACCAACGGTACCTGCTCCGTTGTCTCGTTGTCATTGTCCGATGATCCCATATCGACTGTCTCAACACTTTCCACAATCATCAAATTCATTGGCATTTTTTCGTAATTAGTGGATGATGTTGCTGGTGGCGTTGGTGTGGCTGCTGCTGTTGTTGCTGTTGCTGCTGCTGCTTCACACTTTGCCTTCTTCTTGGCTTTCAATTCTTCGGGTTCCTTTGGAATTTTTGAAATTTTTGCCGTCTTGCGGATGGTCAGCGGTCGAGACAGTGCCAGTGGCAGTGGCAGTGGCAGGGGCAGGGATAGAGGAGCAACTGCAACTGTTTCCTGTTTATCTGCTGGTGTTGCTGCTGCTGCTGCTGCTGCGGCTGCTTTTGCTGTTGCTGTTGCGGCTTTTAATGACTCTTCTACAACTTGTTCAGCTGCTTCTGCTGCTGCTGCTGTTGTTGCTGCTGCTGTTGTTGCTGATGATGCCGTCGAGTTTATTACCAACGAAGTTGCCGCAGTGGCTGTTGCTGCTACTCCTGCTGTTGTTGTTGTTGTAGTTATAATTGCCGGCTGCTGTTGCTGGTGTTGCAGATGTTGCTGCTGATGCTTTTGTTGTTGCAATTGTTGCTGCTGCTGCTGCTGTTGCAGATTTTGTTGCTGTTCCTGCTGCTGTGTTGCCACTGCTGCGGCTCCACCTTCTGGTATAATTGTTGCAAAAATTTGTTCGCCAAATATGAAAAGATCCTTGGAAATAATCATTATCACCTTTTTGTGAACGTTTTGTTGCTTTTTTTGTTGTTGTTTTTGCTGCTTGCGGCTGCTGCTGCCACACTTTATATATATATATATATCTCTTATATATCTCTGGCTTAAATGTAAATCTGGTTTATATATACAACGTTTTGGGTGCCCTAAAACACGTTTCCTTTATTTCAATGCATTAAACATATTTTGTTGGCTGTTTTTTTTTTTTGGGGATTTCTTTAAAATTTCATAATTCCCCCCGTCATTGTCTGGTTTTCGATTTTTTTCTTTTTTACTTTTATTTTTGTTGAATTTATGGAAGGCTGTAATGAAAGAAATGAAGCATGAGGATAAAATTAATACGGTCTCATGGTTTGGGTATATGGAAAGGAATAAATAAAAGTTTAAGTAAAGAGGAAAGCTCAAAAGTTTTCATTAAAAACATTTTCCAACTTTGTTTGTGTCTGGAAATTTTTCAAAAAGTTTCTTACACATAATTGCCTCAAAAGTTTTTCATTGTATCTAGGTCGTATTTACATAATTCCAAAAATGAAGTGCAACTAAGTTTTAAGCTGTTCATACTAAAGCTTTTTAAGTGAAGCTTAAAATGTTTTTCCCATTAAACATTTTTTTAGAATTAATGGGAAAATTACATATGAAATTTGAAATTTAATACACAATAATTTAAGTAAATTTATTTAAATATTTTCTGTTTAGATTTATACATATATTCGATTATCATTTTTATTTTTATTTATCTTTATTTTTAATTCTTTAATTTTACTCAGAGAATTCACGCACTTTTTATATGGTAAATGTTTTGATATATAAAAATTATTTTAAAATTGCTTGAGTTGTTTGATTTTTAATAATTAATTGTTTTCATCGATTCCACTAATTAATTCTTTAGAAATGCACAAGTGTTACAAATCGAAATAAAACAAAATATTAATATTCTTAAATATTTCAGCGCTTTCATTATAATAATGCACACTTTTTATATGATATTTAAGCTCATAGATGCAATGAGGAAACTTTTGAGTATTCTCTGAATTTTCAGAGAACTTATAAACTCTTATTTCATGGTTTGCGATTGCTAAGAAATATAACATAAATTTGCACTAATTTTCAAAATTTTATGTACAAAGATATACTTTTGTTTAAGATGGAAAAATATTTTAAAATAAACTTCTACGAAGCCAACTGTGCACTTTCTAGTTTAGCATCACAACAAGCTCACTTCAACTTTTTAAGAAGGAAATAATTTCATGAAAAATAACACTTTTATATTAATTGTTCAATATTTAGCAATTTCGATTGTTTTTGCAAACTATTCAAAATAAAAACACTAGGAAATTGTTTTGTTTGGCGGCTCGGCGTCTGGGCGTCTGGGCGTCTAAGCGTCGATTCCGATTCTCCGTTTCGCTTTTTTTTTTGTTTAATATATCAACTTCAAATTGTTTCATCCACTTGATGCCAAAGAGAGAGGGAGAGAGAGGTGCAGAGAGCGCCAGACAGATAGCAAGAGAGAATAAAAAATGAAAATGCATCTTGTTGCTTCTCACACACATTGTATTTGTTTTAATTTTGTATATTACTTTTGTTTCGTTTTTGTTGTATTCTTTGGCGATATTTGTCAATTAGCCCGCGCGAAACAAAGCGCCAGAGCAAAACGTCAGTTTTTATCGGTTGCTTATCTATGTGTAGAATAAATTTGTGTATATAAAGTAAATATAAAACAAAAGAACGCACCCCAGAAACAACAAACGATGGAACGTATGTATTAAAATTTTTTTTTTTGATTATGTTTAAAATTGTCAGCACTTTGTTTCACACACTTTTGTTGTTGTTGTACGTTTCATGTAAACATTTTCACACGGAACTCGAGTTTATTCCTTTTATTGAGAATTATACAAATTTTTGTTTAAGGGAACACTTGGCGCGGGGAAGAAGAAATATTTGTATAAATATTGTTGCTTTTTGCTGGAACGAAGAGAGAGAGGAGACGCACGCACGCAACGAAAGAAGGAACGGAACGGAACGAAGGAAGAACAGAGCGCGTACGACAGAAAACAAAACGCAGAACAGAACAACAAAATTGTGCTTTTCAGGCAACAACGCGCAGCATTGAATCGGCGGCGTCCGATTTCGATCTGATCGCAGGGACCGTTAAACGCTCCCCAGTTGCTGGCTGCTGCTGCTGCTTCTGCTGCCGGCGTCGAAGCTGAAGAGCGAAGCTACATGAATGACATTCATTCTCTCGCACGCGCGCGCTCTTTCTTCATTGTGGGGCTGTTTTGCACGTGCGTGTGGCGCTTACTCTCACTCAAGGTGTATTCATAAAAGGTGGGGTGTACGGCAGAGAAAGCTCTCAGGAGAGTTGCAAAGCCAAACTAAAATTCTGCCAGTAAACGATCTATTTACATTGATTTGAAGCTCCAAGTATTTATATTAAATTATGGCTTTATTTATTTAAAATATTGACACACACCGAGGGAGAGAGAGTGAGTGAACCACAACCTTTATAAATACAACTTTCTCTCACTCTAGTCACTGATCTCTCTATTGCTAGTGCTCTCGATCTCTCTCTCTCTCTCTCTCTCGCTCTCTCTCGCTGTCTCTCTCTCTTTACTTGAATTACATTCCTATTGAGAGCATTTCTTTTACATTGTATTACAAGCTCTGTTAATGCCATGTAATCGCTTTACAGTCGCATACCGCTGATAATACTATTGATAAAACATTGTCAAAGTCAATAAAAGTTTTTGCTTTTGTTGCTTAGCTGGCCTGGCGGCTGTTGTTTCTGCGATAGATTGATCAGCAAATTCAACTTGGTGATAGAAATTTAAGGTCTTGATTGGAAGCCCAGACAAGTTTTGGAGACGTTTTTTGGACAGCTTTTCAAAAGACGTCTTGATGTTTAGCTCGAGGTTGTCACTGAAATATATTTAGTAGGGTTTAGCTTTTGGAAGTCAACTGATCTTGATTGTGTGTGTAAAGTTTTTACGTAGATCCACAGATTTTCATTGGGAATGAAACTTTAAAAAATTGGAAAGGTTTCCGTAATTTAAAAGAAAAAATCATTTGAAGAACTTTAAATTTATTGGTACTAGCCAATAAGTGTTATTCAATAATAATTTCTGTTAGCCGAATGTAATATCTACCATTTAATATGTACACTGTAATGTGTATTTCCATTTGCAATACCCACCATGTAATATTTAATTGCTTCATAAGGGAATGAAAGCCGCTTAGAAATAAAAAGAATCTGAAATGATCTGATCTGAAATGAGCTGTGCCATCCATAGTATCTTGTAGCATATAATGCGTACTACCTCTGCTTCAAGAGAACTATCATTAATCTTCATTTCCATTTCAACAATTGCGTTTTCAGTGGAATCAAGCCAATTTAGCTTTTGGCTTACTTCAATCTAGATTCTAGAACTAACTAAAATTTCCTCAAAAAATTCTACTCAATTATAATGAAATGAAAACAAAAGCTTTGGTTTTTCTTTTCTAAGTTTTATCCTGAATAAAACTCATTTTGAATTATTCTTCCTTTTCAGATTACACCCTTTCTCTATCTTGTAGCATATTTGGACATTAATTTGCTTTCCAATTCTGATTCAAATAATTTTCTAATTCGTCTTAAAAATTGTCATGATTTAAGTACTGGTTCCATGTTTGCATACGGACATACATATCTACATATGCATGTACATACATACATACATATATAGTCCCTGAATGCCTCTCCCTCTCTTTTTGTGTTTTTGGCAAATTAGCACATAAATCTTATCAGTCATTAAACTCGCACTGAGAGAATGTCGCAACCGCTGCGTATACGCAATTTGAATGCGTGATATACATATATAAAATAATGGTCATATATGTACATGTGTACATATGCCTGAGCTTATACCGGGAAAGAGAGTGTGGACTTGAAATTAAAACGACAATAAACTGGGTCTGTCATTTGGGTCGTTGACCAAATCAAATGGAAAATACCATCCAGCTGCATTTTAGGCCTAACTAATGATGATTTTTCACTTTCTTCCTGTGCTACCCACCGCACCGCACCGCAACGCAACGCACGCACACCTACACCCACCTTCGCCTCCTGGCCGCAATATTCGGTTTTTTATTGGGTGGCAATAAACCCAAAAAAAAAGAAAAAAACAAAAACAAAAAAACAGAACGCAGAATAAAACGTCGCCGCGTTTCTTTTTCCCGTTCTGGTTGTTGTTGCAGTCTACGCTCTTTTTTGTGCGTTGCTGCGCTGCGTTGTTGTTGTTGTTGTTGCTCACTTCTCTATAAAAAATGTTGTTCAGCAATTTGTTCGTTTTTTTTGCTGGCTTTTTTTGTTTTTTTTTTTGCTGGTTTTTTGTTGCTTTTTATTTATACGCACAATGTGCAAAATGTGCGAGAATGGCGGGCAGAGACACACCGATACGATACATTTACGCACATTCATGCACACGCACTTGTTCTTAACCTTGAAAAACACACACAGCCCGCAACAGTTGTTGCTTTTGATACCCTTCTTAAAGGTGTTCTTCATTCGGGTAGACCATAACAGAGCAGCCCAGCCACGTAACTGTCAGTTAACAGAGTGGCTTAGCATAAGCAGGCTGAACGATTTACATGTGAAGCTACAAGGCACAAGCTTAAACTTTATGCAGAATAGCATGGATATATAGCAGCTACGGGAACGATAGCTAAATAAACTTGTTTGTTTTTTCTGATTATTCGGTAAGTTTTTTCTTGAATTAAATAATAAATAAATAAATAAATAATTACTTATGGCGACTCTGCCCTTGTATCCATCGATCTGCTAGGGTATCAAATGCTTCGGCCCTCGCAGCTTGCACTTACCTTCTGGTGTTTTTTGTTTTCGCACAGGTTGAGGTGTTTACTGTACCGAACAGCTACGTTTTGTTGTTGGCGGCAGCAGCGGCGACTGATAAGATTCTTATTTTCCTTCCTTCTTTCTTTTTGCTCGAATTTTGTTTTTGTTTTTTTGGGAGTGCGTGCCTTTGATAGTATAAGTGTGTGTGTATCTGTGTGTGGGCCTAACAAATATTGAATTTCTAGACGAAATTTATTAAGCGAATTTCTAAGAAGGTTAATACATTTTTTTTTTGTTTTTCCGTTTTTAATTCGTTTATTTGTTCTATGCTCAAATTTCTATTAATTTAGTTCCTTATTCATACATTTTTGTGTGTTCTTTCTAAATTACACATCAGGACTCAATTTTTAAGCTCCAGCACAGAGCTGAAAAACTTACCCTTACGTACGAAATATTATTTAAAATGAACCTAAAATTTCCGCCATTTCTTTATCATTTCTATATTCGACATTATTTGTAATTTTTACAATCTTAACTGACTCCCATATTCAGGCGCTTTTGAACCTCACTTGGCCTTTATTTCACCAAAAAATGTTCCTGATTTGTGTGAGGTTTAATGAACTTGAACTCTTATCAGGCAGTCAGTTTGAATTTTGTGATACGTGTATGCCCCAGAGAGCTGTGTAATGCAACAAAAGAAAGCCGCAAACGAGACACACAAAGTCGACAAAAGAATAAGAAGTTAGTCACCGTCACATGGCTATATCTTCTAGGGCTTTTGACCTGCAGCAATATACATATAAATCGTATTGAGTTTCATAGTTATTTCTAAAATCCTCGATTATATTTCTCATGTTTTGCCTTAAAAAGTTTTGAAGTTGCTTCGTGGTTTGCTTATAGCCTTTTGAATATTGTACTCATAGTTTTCATGATAGTTCATAGTTTTTACCATCTACAGGCACCATCCACTTAGCAGCTGACTTATTTTTATGGGAAATATTGCTTAAATCCAGAATATATCTGCCAATACATATGTCCATTCTTCGCTGTAATTGGCAATTTTGATCAAACAATATCGATGTCAGCCAGGTCACCGATACCTCGGACTCCAGCAACGTCACCCGCCCGCACTCGTTCATCCAGATCCAGCAGCATGCAGCAGCCCCGCAGCCTGTAATATAGCCTTTAATAACTGATCTTTTTTAGACGCAGATGCAAATTGTCCATGTCTACACAACATTTAACATTTACATAACATTTCACCTTTACATAAAATTTTACATTTACATAACATTTAACATTATACACTTTCAAGTGGCGCCGCGCCAAATTACAGCGGTCACAGCATGAACTACCCCAGTGATGTAGCATGCCTGTAGAAATTATGTAGAATTTAGCTTTGAGTGCGAATTTCCGTTATGACCCAAAATAACCAAAAAAAATGTCAAACGTTTTTTTTTTTTTGTTTTTATGTGTACGTTTTTTTTGTTCTGTTTTTCAAGTAAAATTTTTGTAATTTTCATATGGTATTTTTTCAACATTTAATAGGGGAAAAAAAACAACAAATAAGCTTTAATTAAAAGCTCAATTAAAAGCACTTCTTAAATTTTTACCAGTTAAATATTTAGTTTCGTCTGGTTGGATTTTTTGATTGGTTTTCTTTGCCGATGGCTGGAAGTGCATTAATTTCTTTAATTTTTAAATGGGTCACAAAGGTCTTAACTGATCTATGTAGGTACTAGCATTAATCTCAAAAATTTCTTTAACTGGAACTGAAATTCAACCACGTTAGAATTAACATCGACCGCAGCTTCTGGCTGCTCATTAGCTTTTCCGAGAATTGCGCTCCAAATTGTTAAGAAGAAAATTAATTTTTTGTATTTATTTCAATAAAACTTGCGACGTATTTCGATTCAGGCCAAAATTTTTTTCTTTTATATAATTCCATTTAAAAAATCACATATTGAAATTCCTACTCTTTCCCGTATATACCCGTACTCAAAAAAGAGTTAAGGTAAAAGTGGATTGCCTTCGTTCCTTCTCGTTTTGCTTTGCACTGGAAAATAAATTGTTTCCGATTTAACAAGAGAAATTTAAGCGTAAATAGTAAAATATAGTCAGGAACTAAAAGTTCAAATATCTCGGCTCTTTGGCTCGTTGCCGTCCTCCTCTGCTCCGCATCTCCATATCGGCATATTTATATGTTCCTATGTACATATATGTATAAGCATAATCTTCCTTTCACACGCAGTAGGCCTCTGCCTATACCTCATTCAATAGTCAACTCTCCTCGCCTGATCACATCCAAATTTAGTAGGTAAAACAATCAATCTTATATATCTGTGTCTGACTTTTCCACTACAAGTTGAGAAATTTAACATATTTTATTCTGCTCCTAATAATAACTAAATATTCACAGAGAGCACTGCCAGTTCCGTTGACTTTTCGGTTTCGCTGGCCATGGCTGACGTACCGGGTGCGCCGATCATATCCATCTACGACCTGCTGCTGGAGCGCAAGATCCTGCTTGCTGGCAAGGGGGCATTCCGCAAGCAGAGGAACCAACAAGAACCGAACGAACCGATGGCCGAGACTGCCACCAAAGCCAAGGCCATCAGCAGTAGCATCAGTAAGCACCTCAGCTGTTCGTCCGATGGGGAAGTGACACCGTCGGGGCCAGCTAATGTTTCGGCCTCGCACCTGATCAAGAAGCGGACGGGCGTAATCATGCAGCAGCCCACAAAGAAGGAAGTGCCGGACAAAGTGGCCAAGAAGGCGGCGCCCAGGATTCTCAGTGCGAAGACCAAAATGAGAGCCTCTTCAGTTGGCAATAGCCTCTCCGATGCCTCCACATCCAAGCCATTGACGAGCACGCGCCGCAAGACGAAGAAGAAGAAGGTGCTCCGCCCACCTCTTCTCCTCGCGCAGTTTATCGAGTTGGCTCTCCAGACTCCGGCGTATCACCTGCGTGTCCGCCAGTAGATCCTCCTTGGACCCTTCATCCAGAAACTCCCTGCCTTCTGGCTTAGCCTCGGGCGCCGGACTCTTGCCCGGTTGTCCGCTCCTGTCGCTCATTTGCGCTTCAATTTTGTACTTGTAGACTTCCATTTCGTACTTGTAGACTTCAATTTTGTACTTGTAGACTTCAATTTTGTATACTCTAGGTTGTGGATTCGGTCAACGAATCTGATCTATGTAGGTACTAGCATTACTCTCAAAAATTTCTTTAACTGGAACTGAAATTCAACCACGTTAGAATTAACATCGACCGCAGCTTCTGGCTGCTCATTAGCTTGTCCGAGAATTGCGCTCCAAATTGTTTGTTCAATAAAACTTGCAACGTATTTCGATTCAGGCCAAAATTTTTTTCTTTTATATAATTCCATTTAAAAAATCACATATTGAAATTCCTACTCTTTCCATTTCAATTTTCGTTCGTTTTCTGCGTTTTGCTTTGCACTGGAAAATAAATTGTTTCCGATTTAACAAGAGAAATTTAAGCGTAAATAGTAAAATATAGTCAGGAACTAAAAGTTCAAATTTCTCGGCTCTTTGGCTCATTGCCGTTCTTCTCTGCTCCGCATCTCCATATCTGCATATTTATATGTTCCTATGTACATATGTATATGGGCAGTTCCGCCAAAAGGTCCACCAGGCCAAAAATCATAAAAAGTCAATAAAAACCGATTTCCATATAATTTGTTCCGGATATTTATACCCGTACTCAAAAAAGAGTTAAGGGGTATATTAGATTTGTGGTAAAAGTGGATGTGTGTAACGCAGAGAAGGAAAATTTTCCGACCCCATAAAGTATATATATTCTTGATCAGCATCAATAGCCGAGTCGATATAGCCATGTCTGTCTGTCCGTCCGTCCGTCGTCCGTCGTCCGTCCGTCCGTCTTGTTGAGCGCCTGGATCTCAGAGACTATAAGAGTTAGGGTAACCAAATTTGGTTTCCAGACTCATGTGATATCACACTGCTACAGTGTATTCAAAATTTCGCCCCGCCCCCTTCCGCCCCCACAAAGGACGAAAATCTGTGGCAGGCACAATTTTAAAGATACGATAAAACTATAAACGCAGTATCGTAGAGAATGCCCATATCTACCAGATTGACAAATCTGAATCAGATCGGATCATAATTATAGCCAGAATGAAGAAATTAATTTTCTGTTGCTTTCCCTGCCCCCCCTCCAGCCAACGACAACTCAACTCATTTTCCATCTCGCTCGCACACTCTGCCGCGTTGAGTGCGCGAGCAACCCCTAGCGGAGGAGATGTAGAATCTAATTGGAACATGTACAATCTACATGTTAGATGTAGAATATACATTGTATATGTAGATGTAGATAGCATATGTAGCAAAAAAATGTAAAATGTAAAATTTTTTTTTTTCTCAAATTCTTAAAAATTATAAGCTCAAAAATGTATATACTGACTGAGTACGGGTATAAGTAGAGTCGCGTCCCCAGAAGCGACTCACACGTTCCTTCTCGTTTTTTCTAAATTTATTGAAAGGTAACTAATTTACTTTATTGACATATAATTTCATTAACTTTCATCCTAAAACCTATGCAAATTAGCAAAAGTTCACGTTTTTGGTATTTTCTGGTATTTTTATAGACATGTTTTCTTTTACTATTATCTCCTAGGAAGAAGATGATTCTTAATAAAAGTTTCTCCTTAAAGTCTTTCTAACATATTCAACTACCCAAAACTATTATCAGAAAGTTGGTCCAACCTCGGCTAACAGTATATTTTTAGGCTTTTATAATAGCTGAATTCGGTAACGTCACGCCAGTAACGTTCGCCAGATGCCTCCGCGGATTTTTAACAAAAAAAGAGGAAAAGTTTTTACATTTAATAAGTTTGAAAATTAACTCTCAATACTTCATTTATTACCACAAAAAATTTTATACAAATAGCTCTATCCAATTCGCAGAGTTTTGCCTTTTTGTACCCCAACCTCGAAAACCACTTCTGTTTTATGTAACGCACTTTTAGGTCATACTTTGGCTTATATCTTTAAAACCGTGCGCTCGATTATTTCCACTTTGCTGTTGAATGTAGGTCTAACCAAATTATATTCAACGAGGATAATCTTTTTTCCAAATTTCAGCTTTTTGCCTATTTTTTTCAACATTTTGTCGTACGAATGTAACGTAACGCCAGATAGGAACTGCCCATATGTATAAGCATAATCTTCCCTTCACACGCAGTAGGCCTCTGCCTATACCTCATTCAATAGTCAACTCTCCTCGCCTGATCACATCCAAATTTAGTAGGTAAAACAATCAATCTTATATATCTGTGTCTGACTTTTCCACTACAAGTTGAGAAATTTAACATATTTTATTCTGCTCCTAATAATAACTAAATATTCACAGAGAGCACTGCCAGTTCCGTTGACTTTTCGGTTTCGCTGGCCATGGCTGACGTACCGGGTGCGCCGATCATTTCCATCTACGACCTGCTGCTGGAGCGCAAGATCCTGCTTGCTGGCAAGGGGGCATTCCGCAAGCAGAGGAACCAACAAGAACCGAACGAGCCGATGGCCGAGACTGCCACCAAAGCCAAGACCATCAGCAGTAGCATCAGTAAGCACCTCAGCTGTTCGTCCGATGGGGAAGTGACACCGTCGGGGCCAGCTAATGTTTCGGCCTCGCACCTGATCAAGAAGCGGACGGGCGTAATCATGCAGCAGCCCACAAAGAAGGAAGTGCCGGACAAGCTGCCCAAGAACGCGGCGCCCAGGATTCTCAGTGCGAAGACCAAAACGAGAGCCTCTTCAGTTGGCAATAGCCTCTCCGATGCCTCCACATCCAAGCCATTGACGAGCACGCGCCGCAAGACGAAGAAGAAGAAGGTGCTCCGCCCACCTCTTCTCCTCGCGCAGTTTATCGAGTTGGCTCTCCAGACTCCGGCGTATCACCTGCGTGTCCGCCAGTAGATCCTCCTTGGACCCTTCATCCAGAAACTCCCTGCCTTCTGGCTTAGCCTCGGGCGCCGGACTCTTGCCCGGTTGTCCGCTCCTGTCGCTCATTTGCGCTTCAATTTTGTACTTGTAGACTTCCATTTCGTACTTGTAGACTTCAATTTTGTACTTGTAGACTTCAATTTTGTATACTCTAGGTTGTGGATTCGGTCAACGAATCTGATCTATGTAGGTACTAGCATTACTCTCAAAAATTTCTTTAACTGGAACTGAAATTCAACCACGTTAGAATTAACATCGACCGCAGCTTCTGGCTGCTCATTAGCTTGTCCGAGAATTGCGCTCCAAATTGTTTGTTCAATAAAACTTGCAACGTATTTCGATTCAGGCCAACATTTTTTCTTTTATATAATTCCATTTAAAAAATCACATTGAAATTCCTACTCTTTCCATTTCAATTTTCGTTCGTTTTCTGCGTTTTGCTTTGCACTGGAAAATAAATTGTTTCCGATTTAACAAGAGAAATTTAAGCGTAAATAGTAAAATATAGTCAGGAACTAAAAGTTCAAATTTCTCGGCTCTTTGGCTCATTGCCGTTCTCCTCTGCTCCGCATCTCCATATCTGCATATTTATATGTTCCTATGTACATATGTATATGGGCAGTTCCGCCAAAAGGTCCACCAGGCCAAAAATCATAAAAAGTCAATAAAAACCGATTTCCATATAATTTGTTCCGGATATTTATACCCGTACTCAAAAAAGAGTTAAGGGGTATATTAGATTTGTGGTAAAAGTGGATGTGTGTAACGCAGAGAAGGAAAATTTTCCGACCCCATAAAGTATATATATTCTTGATCAGCATCAATAGCCGAGTCGATATAGCCATGTCTGTCTGTCCGTCCGTCCGTCCGTCCGTCCGTCCGTCTTGTTGAGCGCCTGGATCTCAGAGACTATAAGAGTTAGGGTAACCAAATTTGGTTTCCAGACTCATGTGATATCACACTGCTACAAGTGTATTTCAAAATTTCGCCCCGCCCCCTTCCGCCCCCACAAAGGACGAAAATCTGTGGCAGGCACAATTTTAAAGATACGATAAAACTATAAACGCAGTATCGTAGAGAATGCCCATATCTACCAGATTGACAAATCTGAATCAGATCGGATCATAATTATAGCCAGAATGAAGAAATTAATTTTCTGTTGCTTTCCCTGCCCCCCCTCCAGCCAACGACAACTCAACTCATTTTCCATCTCGCTCGCACACTCTGCCGCGTTGAGTGCGCGAGCAACCCCTAGCGGAGGAGATGTAGAATCTAATTGGAACATGTACAATCTACATGTTAGATGTAGAATATACATTGTATATGTAGATGTAGATAGCATATGTAGCAAAAAAATGTAAAATGTAAAATTTTTTTTTTTCTCAAATTCTTAAAAATTATAAGCTCAAAAATGTATATACTGACTGAGTACGGGTATAAGTAGAGTCGCGTCCCCAGAAGCGACTCACACGTTCCTTCTCGTTTTTTCTAAATTTATTGAAAGGTAACTAATTTACTTTATTGACATATAATTTCATTAACTTTCATCCTAAAACCTATGCAAATTAGCAAAAGTTCACGTTTTTGGTATTTTCTGGTATTTTTATAGACATGTTTTCTTTTACTATTATCTCCTAGGAAGAAGATGATTCTTAATAAAAGTTTCTCCTTAAAGTCTTTCTAACATATTCAACTACCCAAAACTATTATCAGAAAGTTGGTCCAACCTCGGCTAACAGTATATTTTTAGGCTTTTATAATCGCTGAATTCGGTAACGTCACGCCAGTAACGTTCGCCAGATGCCTCCGCGGATTTTTAACAAAAAAAGAGGAAAAGTTTTTACATTTAATAAGTTTGAAAATTAACTCTCAATACTTCATTTATTACCACAAAAAATTTTATACAAATAGCTCTATCCAATTCGCAGAGTTTTGCCTTTTTGTACCCCAACCTCGAAAACCACTTCTGTTTTATGTAACGCACTTTTAGGTCATACTTTGGCTTATATCTTTAAAACCGTGCGCTCGATTATTTCCACTTTGCTGTTGAATGTAGGTCTAACCAAATTATATTCAACGAGGATAATCTTTTTTCCAAATTTCAGCTTTTTGCCTATTTTTTTCAACATTTTGTCGTACGAATGTAACGTAACGCCAGATAGGAACTGCCCATATGTATAAGCATAATCTTCCCTTCACACGCAGTAGGCCTCTGCCTATACCTCATTCAATAGTCAACTCTCCTCGCCTGATCACATCCAAATTTAGTAGGTAAAACAATCAATCTTATATATCTGTGTCTGACTTTTCCACTACAAGTTGAGAAATTTAACATATTTTATTCTGCTCCTAATAATAACTAAATATTCACAGAGAGCACTGCCAGTTCCGTTGACTTTTCGGTTTCGCTGGCCATGGCTGACGTACCGGGTGCGCCGATCATTTCCATCTACGACCTGCTGCTGGAGCGCAAGATCTTGCTTGCTGGCAAGGGGGCATTCCGCAAGCAGAGGAACCAACAAGAACCGAACGAGCCGATGGCCGAGACTGCCACCAAAGCCAAGGCCATCAGCAGTAGCATCAGTAAGCACCTCAGCTGTTCGTCCGATGGGGAAGTGACACCGTCGGGGCCAGCTAATGTTTCGGCCTCGCACCTGATCAAGAAGCGGACGGGCGTAATCATGCAGCAGCCCACAAAGAAGGAAGTGCCGGACAAGCTGCCCAAGAAGGCGGCGCCCAGGATTCTCAGTGCGAAGACCAAAATGAGAGCCTCTTCAGTTGGCAATAGCCTCTCCGATGCCTCCACATCCAAGCCATTGACGAGCACGCGCCGCAAGACGAAGAAGAAGAAGGTGCAAGCCTCGGGAGGCTCGACTTCAAAGTCCTACTTGATCGACCACTCGGCTGACCAGCGCATGCCCATGTCACCGCGTAAGGCTGGCGGGGAAATCCTTGCACGCGCCAAGACACCCACACCTACAGCTACAACACCCAAGTTAAATACCCCCAAAACATCGCAGACCAAGCTGCGCCTGAAGGGGCGCAAGTCCAAAACTTCCCTCGGCTCAAGCAAGACTCCAACGACTCCCAGCAGTGTCAACCGTTGGCGCATCTAGGAACAGCGTTTGCACTGGATCTACCACATCGCATTTTTTAGTTACCATTTTTAAATTATATTTAAATTTAAAGTTTCTTTAGAAATTTATAGGAATTACAATTACAATTAATAGAGTTTGGTCTTCTTTTATTTATACCCATAGAGTAGAAGAGTTTTCTGATGAGCAGACACCCTAGGACATAGCTGGAAGAAACACAAGGCTAGAAGGCAGACTTCCATTAATCCAATCCCTCGGTAGGCAATCCCAGGAAAAGCTAAACCATTCAGATATATTCTTGCACACCGTTCAACTATTTCTTTTGAACAAAAAAGAGCAATCCACGGGCAACGTTGACTGGCTGAAATCATTTCACGTGTTTGCTTGTGTTTTTTTTTTTGTATTTTTCATTTATTTGTTTTTATAATAAATTAGAATTTTCATTACTGCAGCTTAACATTCGGTTTCGTTTCATTCTTTCATATATTTCATTTAACTTTAAGACTAAGACTTGTGACACAATTTTTAAGCCAATTTCGCGAACGGCTCAAATGAAGTTGACAATAATTATACATATGTATATATATTTTGGGGGAAGGGGCGATTCTCACATGCTTCTCGTGCTTATTTTTCAGTTTTTAGTTTTTTTTTTTTTTGATTTTGTGCTGGAATTAGCCAACATTTTGATAGCTTAGACCTAAATGTATTTACTTAAATAATTCTGTTTAAACATTTTTCGCATTCAATTCGCACAAGTTGTTTGCCATTTGCATTTGCTTTGCTGAATTTGGTTTGATTTGTTCTGTTAAAATGCAACCACTACAAACTAGCAATACTTGGCTATATATATCGGAACATATATATATATATATATATGTATGTATATATAGTGTATATATAGAGTATGCCATTATCGGGTCTCCTCGCGCTTAGCATTGTAGATTGGGTTTGGTTTGAAGTGTCTGTCGGTTCGGGTTCTGTATTGTGGGGTATCGACTGTAAACGAGCGGTAGTGGGTGGTAGATCAAAGAGGAGTTATACAAACGAACGAAAGAATTGCTCACAATTGTTTCGATTCGCTTTTACAAAAATATTGTACACAATAAACATTTCTCTTGTATAATTGTTTTTATCAAATTTTTTAACCCGTTAGCCTGCAAAGACCGGCAGGCAGACCGTTATAAATATATTATTTAACTGTTACTGTTGCTGTTTTTTGCGCTTGCTCGACATTCGACATTCGTAATGAATTTTCTAAAACAAAAATTCAGGGCGCGCCCCTCTTGCTTGTGGTTTTTCTTTTTTCCTTTTCTTTTTGTTGATTTTTTTTTTGGTATGTTGTGAGATATGAAATACTTGAGGAATTTGTAGATACATTTTGTCTAAAGCAAAGCCAAAACGAACAGGTGCCAAACGTAAATGCAGTTAATAAAAAAACGATAAACAATTGCTCTAATCCTAACTAAAATGCAGCTACTTATAACTTAAATTACACATTTTCTTCTTCACTTAGAACATAGACATAAATATGTAGAAATTACGAATTTCAGGGGGGCGGTGTTTGGGTATTTTTTGTATGTGTTTCATGTGTGTGTGTGTGGGGGTGTGTGGGTGTGTGTGTGGGTAGGTTTGTGACTAAATTTTAGTTGAATTTTAAATTCAATTTCAGATTTTTTTTTTTTGGTGGCTTTGCTTTGGGCCCAAGACTTTGCTGTGGGTCTTTTGCCTTTTTTCGTGTGTCGAAGACAATTGGATTGGATTAATTTTAGTTGCACCACAATTATAGAAAAACTTTGTTTTTTTTTTTTTTTTTTTGCAGCTAACGTATAAAGACCTCAGCCAATGTTTTTTCAGTCTGAAAAACATAAAAACGTTTCGGGTGAGCAGCAGGTTACAACAAAAAAATAGAAAAATTCATGAAAACATAAAACATTTTTCAACATAAATTCATTCAGTGCGCAAGTAATCAAATTACATGGGTTAGTAAACACAAAAGAGTTAAAAAAAGAGTGTGCATTAAATCCAAACTAAATTCCGGCAATATTAACAACAGAGGAGAGAATGGAAGAACATAGCAAAAATTTACTTACAAATATTACACAACAATTTTAAATTTTCGCCTGTCTGAACTTTTTGAATTTTGGTGAATTTTGTTTTTGGATTTGGACAGCACAAAATGTGGTTGGGAGTGATACCAAATTGATTGGATTATGCATAACAACATTTCATTCGCGTCTCAGTCGAACAGTTTAACAAATTGTGTGTGTTCGCCTTGTGTTCGGGGTTCTATGGAATACAAAAACCTAGAGCTAAAGAGTCATCTACTCTGGCTGCACTATAGGTGGAAGATTCAAGGGGTTAATTATGCCGATGTTTCCACATCAGTCTGCACCCAGAGTAAACGCTTCTTGCACAGAGAACGGAGAACATGCCACAATATTTGTTTGTTTAAGTTTTTACGTCTTTCTAACTAAGAGATCAGTTACAAATGCCCGCTAAATACAGTGCGTTTCACAACGTTAAGGCAACAGCTCTCAAAAAATAAAAAGCTGGATTTCGAAATTAATTTTAATTCAATTAGAATTCACGTATATTCATACGATTCTACGCCTCAACTGTGGCAATTCCTTAATAAAGTCGGTTTCGTTTGAATAATTAGAGACAGCTGAACAGCTGACTGTTTTCGAATATAATTCTTGGGATTTCTATTTTCCAACTTTGTCAATTTATGAGCAGAATCAAAGGTAATCTTAATAGAATATATTATTGAATTTAATTAGCTTAGCTAACGAAAAAGGAACTGTTTTCCAACAGCTAGAATTAGATGGACTAATAGAATAGAATTCCAGCGAGTCTGTTTTATCTTTTCACCAAGAGCGGCCTTTACTCGCTGCCGAAAGGCTTCAGGTGAAGAATGTGCTGGCTGGCCAACAGCTTTTGGCATTGATTAACCATCCGTCTGGAGCTGTCAGCTACTCGCCAACAGGCTTCCGAGTCACCTGCTGCCCAATCTGCCTGTCTTAACGCTTTGCAACGCACTGTATGTATACATGTATGTGTGTGTGTGTGTTTTGTGTGTGTGTGTGTGTGAGTGGTTTACGTTACAATTAATTGTCGCTTGCTGTATTGCTGCTGTTGGGTGCTGCTGTGGTCGTGGTTGCTGGTTGTTGCTGTTGTTTTTCACATTTTTCACATTTTTAATGAGATGCTTAAAATTCAGTGTGCATTGACATCGACTCAATGCTCTGACGCAGCTGGTCATCGTTGTAGATCTTTTCGCAGACAATGCTCACCTTTTTCAGCAATTCGATGGCAGTTTGCAGCACGTGATGCCATTTCCGCAGCTCGCTCTCATGCGACTGCTCCTGCTGACGCAACAGCTCCAGCCATTCCTCATTTGTGTTGGGAAGTTCCCTGTGCATCGAATAGAAATTGATTGTGTTAAAGTGTTGTTAAATGGCAGTGGTACTCACTTTAAGGCCGCCAAACTGGGGAAGTGCGCCCGTCGACTGAGATCCACGTCAATCCGTTCCTCCAGCTTCCAGAGCTTAAGTAATAATATCACATTTAATGCCAGCATCAAGCACAGCAACAGTATAACAAACAATGACAAGCCCTTGTGTTTGAGGAATCTGTAGTGTCCCTGTCCCTGGCCCATGGCCAGTGGCAGGCGGCCAACGCCGCCGAGATCGACGCCGCCCAGGTGCTTCTGCAAATGCTGTTGCTGGTGGTGGAGCTGCTGCTGCTGCAGGCCCGACAACTGTTGCAGCTTGCCGTGCTCGTGCAGCAGAGCAGCAGCATGACTCGAGGCGGCCCCAACGGCCCCCGATCCGGCGACGCCGCCCCCAGACAGTAAATGTGACTCCAGCAGTGTATCGCCAATGCCAGTCTGTGCCGTGCCGCCGCCGCTGCCGCCAGCTGCTTCCTCCAAGGGGCGTATTTGTGTGGCGGTACCTGTGGAGTAGGGACGAGCGCAGAGAGAGAGAGAGAGAGAGAGGAATGGCAAATGGTACGGTTAGAAATCAAATCATTCGAAAGCATAATTCTAATAAAATATGAGCCAGAATCGGGTGCACGCATATGTATGGTATGGTGAGGCAACAGAATCACAACATTAAGATACAACAGAAAATCGGGGAGAACTATTCGTTAAAAATAAAAATAACTGCAATAACAAAGCAAATTGGTCAGGTATAAGTTCTATACATATATGGTTGGCAGCAATTGCCAGCGCTAGAAGGGTTAAAAGATTAAAGGAACTCGAATATAGGAATCGGAAAAAGAGTAAGATTATAAAAGAGTTGAGAAACATATCTGATATGATTGAGGAAAGCATTCGAGAGAGTCGGGAGAGAGGGAACGGAACCCCCAAATGATGCAAATGTGTATGACACGCGAGAAGTTCTTCAGTTTCAATTGTTTACTATTGAAAGCATCTCAGAAGATTCCTATTTGAAATATACATATACTCTACTAGATATAGTCTAAACTTTATAATTGATTGATTGCTTGCTAATTGTTAGCCACTATATAGTTTCTCAATGAATATTTTTAAATGCTCGACCCGCACAAGCGAATGCTGCCAAAGAGAATGCTCGAGAATTGAGCTGGCTCATATTATTCGCTGTTTGGTTTACTTAGTTTTACTGCTCACAAATTAAAAAGGCCTGCCTGCCCACTGCTGGACAGAAGGGTGTGTGGACACACACCTTATCTAATGCTTAATCTTTATATGAGCATGTCATGTGCATTTCTATGAATTTGTGGTGTGCTCAAAGTGAGTCATGTCAACTCAATGTCTAGCCCACAACACACGATTATTCTCAAAATGTTTCATATTTTGTCAGATTAGATAGCGATTCAAATCTTTGCAATTAAAATCGATAGCACGTGCAAAGATTTAGAACACACCATATGTTTCGACACCTGCACCTGGATTCACTTTCCACTGATAAACAAAAAAAAACACCTGGGTGGGTAATCTGCCTCCGATACACCTGCACAACATTTATAGCAGCTCATTGTCAAACGGAAAACCAACAATGAAGTTATTTATAACATGGAACGGAAACTTTAGCAAACTTTTCGCATCTTCTGAAACCCACTCCGCTGGCAATTGCTACCCATTTTTATAGCTATCACTGGCTGTGTGTGTACAATGTACCTTTACTCGACTGAAAAATGGCCTTACGATGATGCCACAGTGGCTGCGTATGCTGATGATGATGATGCAAGTGCTGATGATGATGCGGCGCCGGCGGCCTTTGATTGTGCGGATGCTGATGCGGTTGCTGTTGGCTACTACTGGCAGTAGTACTGTGATGATGATGGTGATGGTGATGCATGTGCAAGTGCTGGTGCTGATGATGCTCATGCTGTTCCGACTGATGATGATGGTGATAATGATGTCGTGATAATGATGGCTCTCGTATGCTGTCATTGTCCGTGCTGGTTGCTGTTCCCGTTTCCGTTTCGTTTAAAGTTGCTGTGGCTTTTGCCATAGCTGTCCCTGTTCCTGCTGCTGCTGCTGCTGTTGTTGTTGTTGTTGATTGTTGATTTATGCCTGTTGTGGTGTATGTTGTTGTTTGTAGCTTGTTGTTGTTGTAGCTTAGCATATTGGAATTTGGTTTTCGTTGGTGGTTTTTGTTGCAGTAACAGTTGTTGTTTTCGTTGTTGTTTTTTGTTGGAGGAATGGTTTGGTATGCATGCGTAAGTGGTTTTGTTGTCGTTGTATGTGTGTGTGTGTGTGGTTAGAAGAAGCAAATGGCAAATGGCAATTGGCATTCGCATTGGCAGTGTATATAGAATACGAGTAAATATTCCATTTGTTTTTATAGAATTAAAATTGCTTTGCATTGTTGTTGTTGTTGCTGTTGTTGTTGTTCTTGTTGTTGTGGTTGTTGCATTGTTGTTAATTGTTTATTATTTCTTACATCTAAATGCTTACCACGCCTTGGCCTGCGTCCCTTGCCCTTTGCAGGCGGTATACACGTCTCACTCTGCAGTGCATGCAGCTGAGCGCCAAAGAAATCCTCGACACCCGCCCACGTATTCTTCTCGATGAATCCCTTGACAACGCCCCAAATTGATTTCTTATATTTAATTTGGGTATGTATCGATAGCATGGTGTGATCATCAACCGTTCTATATACGGACAAAAAAAAGGAGTAAACTGACACTGAAACTGGATGTTTTTGTTGTCTGCGTCATACCTGGCCAAACAAAAGTGTATAAGCACACTGAAGCTATCCGCATATGGAATGCCTGCATTAACACTATTTACGTCTATGGAATACAGTTCGCCCGGCTTGCTGCATGCCCTCATCGTTTGATATTCGGTCACCTACAAAATGGCAAAATCAATTAAACAATCAATTCAATTGTCGCTGCCGCTGTTATACCTTTGAGGTCTTGGGTCCCACAGAGGCGGCCAATTGTACGGTGACATTGACAACGCGCACACTGAGACCCTCCTCGTTCTTGGTCCATTCGCCAATGGTCAGGTCCGTGGATTTGCGCATGGCATGGAAGTCCGTTAAGAATTTGGATTTGGTGAACAGCAAATTGAACAGCGTGTCCACGCTGATGGGCAGAATGGTGTGAACTATTTGGCGGCCCTCGTGCGTCGATGTGCACTCGGTGGTGGGCACAAATCTGTGAAAGATTTAAACCGGATTAGCTGCAATAGCTGCAACTTGCAAGTTATTTAGTGGGATTCTGCCCACACACTTACGGCACATTATTCTCCTCGGAATCGGACGAGTCCGAGACATCTGTGGGCGCCACCTCTTCGGCATTTTTGCTGACCAATTCTGGTTCCCGTTGCCGATGATTTTTGCTCATCTTCCGTTTGCTTTCCGCTGCCACATGTTTAGCCTCTCCCGAGGCCGATAGCGAGGCGGCAGCTGCCGTGGCTGCTGCTGCTGCTGCCGCCGCCGCCGCTGCTCCCGAATTGGAACTCGTACTGATTTTCTTTTCCGCGCTCTTCTTATCACTGCCACTGGCTGTGGTCGTCGTCAGGCTGTTGCTTGCATTGTTAGTGGCAGCTGTGCCTGCTGCTGCTGTCGCTGTTGAACTTTCTGTGCTGTTTCTGTTGCTGCTGCTGCTGCCGCCGCCGCCTGGCAGACTCATCATGGTGACGCCCACCGACTGCTCCGCTGGCTTCACGGAGCTCAGCGTCAGCTCTTTGGCATTCTGTTTCATCTTCTTGCTTAGCTTTCGTGCACTCTCCTTGTTGTTGTCGGAGCCACTGGCCGATGCGTTGGCCGAATTCGAAGATTTAGAAGAGTTGAAGAAATATTTTGTTTTGGATTTGCGGGGTGCTGCTGCCCGGCCACTGCCGCCGCTGCTGGCGCTGCTGTTGCCGCTTAAACGCTGCAGGGGTTGCTGTAGCTGTAGCTGTTGCTGCGACTGTGACTGTGACTGTGACTGCTGCGACTGATTCGATTGATCGTCATCAAGGGCCGTGTGAAAATCCACATCGGTTTCGGTATCCTTATGCAATGTGGGATCAATATAGTCCTCGTCGTCGGTGGTCAGGCCAAGCTCTTCGCCATAGCAATTGTGGACGTATTTCCAGATCTCTTGCGGCGAGAATTGCTTGTTCATCAACGTGTTCTGCCAGACACGGAAGAGCATCAAGAAGGACTTGTCGCGCGATGTGAATGTGGCAAAGAAGTACTTGTCCTTGCCGCTGGCTATCGATATGGCATTGGGTATCACCAAGGCGGTCTTCTCTTTGGTTATCGCCGTGACATCCTTCCACTTGATGCTCACATAGGTCTCCCAGCTGAAGATGTTGGCATGGAAGCAAACGTAGTTCTGTGATACATATAAACGGCCCTGGACCAAGATATCCCGTTGCAGGGCGCAGGAGTAATCTAAGGCAAGTAAATCAAGAAAATTAAATTTAATTCGATTATGGGGGGGTGCTGGCTGTGTGGGGGTCGTGCTACCTACCCACAATCAATCGCTCATCGTTTGGCACGTCCTTGAAGAGTTTCTTAAAGTCCTCGGCGCGTGACTTGTAATTGGGATAGATGACGTTGTACCACGACTTCTTTTTGGCCCGCTCCGATAGCCGCGAGGGCTTGGCCGACTTCTCGTTGGAGTTGGAGCTGCTGCTCACCTGTTGATCGTTGCCGCGCTCAACGCGCAGGATGCTCAGCTCGTGTGGCGTCAGCTCGTTTAGCCTGTGCTGTGCGTTGTCCTGCAGGGAGAGGGAGAGTTGATCCATAACCATTAGAATTTCCATGCAACCAATCAAACGACGCGCGCTCTAACATTATAGCCGCTACCCGTTCAAACAATTGTTTTATTTCTACTGATGTTTGCTGCTGTTGCTGCTGCTGCTGCTGCTGCTTCTGTCGCTGCTCAACTCTTCCTCCTCCGATTATGATGATGATGATGATTCACCTTTCGGTTCATAGGAAACAACTTTCGGCCAGGTGTCTAGGTTTTATTTTCTTATCAATACCACACGCCTGTCGCCTGTTTACGACCCCCACCAATTATTTACAACAACAACAAATAAAGGAGGGAAAAAAAAAACTAATTCGCGATACTCGTGCTACTTTTTGTGCCTCATTTTTTTCTGCTGGTATCGTACCCGTGGAGACGCGCCGTCGCTTATTGAATACCGCTTTGCTATTACCAGCCCACAGGCCCACACAAAACACAAAAAAAAAAAAGAATATATATATATATAAAATCTTATCAATGGGCAGAGAGAGGCGAGCAGAAAAAAGCTTCGACCGAAAATTTATGTCGCGAGCTTTTTGGCCTCACACCGGACGGGTAATTCTAATCAGCTGCGGCACATTGAATGGGTGATAGAGTATGCCCATACATTATACCATATAAACATATATAAGTACACATATATGTGTATGTATATATATACTGGGAATGACTGACACATTTGTGTGTGCGCTGACTATCAATTGGGAGCGATTAGATTTTGAGACCACCACACACTGACGTTCAATATTCCAATGCAGTTATTAAACTGTGACTCGATATCTCTCATTGTGTCGTGTCTTGTCTGCCAAAAGCGATCCATCTTTATACAGCTGTGTTCAGCCATCGATCCATCGATCAGTCGTTCGGTCGATCATCTGTCTTGGCCGGGATTTCTTCGCACCTTTGTTGCTTTTTGTGCTAATGGTTTGGGCAAGCAAACGCCCAGCAAACTGAAAGCTTTTTCGTTGGAAATGCAAATAAAAACCGGAAATAGTTGACGGTTTTTTGCCTTCTGAGATTGAAAATATATTCCATAAAGTAGAGATCAAACAAAAAGAATTCAAAAAGTATAGCTGCGTGTACATTGGAAGGCTTCTGAGGTATGGGCAGCATATTTCAAATGCAATCGAACTATTGCAAGATATTCTTGTAGTTATATTAAGGCTGTGCATATGTTTTGAATGTTTGATTCTGCTCTGTTTGTTTTCTGCTGCCAATTATGGGTCGACACTGGGTCGCTTGGCCTTGAAAATTTAATTCCAAACAGGTGTTTAATCATAAAAAGTTACATTGATTGAGTTCTAATCGCCCAGAAACGCTATAATCGCTGACATTTTTATCGTGGGTTTATGTACTTCAAAGCTTCTAATTTATACCCCACTCTGAGTTTGAAAAGCTCACGCTTTGGTCAAATATTCTGCAGGTAGGAACTTCATTGTTAAGAGACAGCAAAATGCAGTGCAAGTATTTCCCACTCTCCCCGCCCAACTAATGCCCAAATGGCTGATTGATCCCACATTGATCCTGGCTTTCACTCACCTCATCTCGTCCACTGCTTGATGTGGAGAGTTTTGGCTGACTGGCTCGTCCCTTGGAGCTGGTCGAGCTCTTGCGACTGCTGGGACTGTCCGTGCAGGAGCCGCCTGGCTGGGCACACCCGTTCGAGTCGACGCTCTGTGACTGCAGTGGCTGATCCCTTGATCCCTGATCGCTGGCAACAATGTTGATGCTGGGCGTGGATGGCGGTGGGACGCTGCTGCCGTTGCTGCTGTTGGCCAAATTCGTATTAGAGCTGGAAGTGGCTTGGGCTAGGCTAGGATTGCTGCCGCTATTAATGCCATTGATGGTGGAGGAGGAGGCAACCGACGACTCATTGCGTTGCTGAGATCCTGAAGCTGCTGTTGCTGTGGCTGCTGCTGCTCCTGCTGTGGTTGCTGCTGCTGCTGTGGCGACAGTGGCCGCTGCAACTGTGCCCGCTGTGGATACCGCCGCCGCAGTTGAGTTTGTGGCCGTGGAAGTGTTCTGTTTCGAAGACGTCGACGAAATGGATATGCTGCTGTGCTCAAGGGTGCCCGCAGCTTCCTGGATGGTGAGTAGTTTGCTGTTCAAACTGCTGTTGATCGTGGTGGTTGTAATTGTGATCTCCTCGCTGAGAGAATCGCGCCTGCAATGGTACGGGAGGTGGGGGGTTTAGCCCAAAATTAGTAAATAAATTCCACTTTGCATTCCGGCTCTAAAGCTACCGTTTTGAATTGTTGATTAAATGGAAAAACTCTTGAACTAGGCATGCAAATTTGGAATAAATAATTCTCTTACGGAATTGGACCATGGCCTGGCTGGAGAGTTTCCTGAGCACTGAATGGATCCATTCCCACCTACCTGTCGCCACCATTGCTACAAGCAGCAGACGCCGCTGCCCTGTCCTCAGACGTGGCATCTTCGTTCCTTTGATGCCCCTCCTGCTGCCCCTCCTGCGGCTGTTCCTGCTGAGGAGTCGGCGGCTCTGGCTCCTGGCACCTCTCCTGCGCTTGCTCTGCTTGTGGCTGTGTCTGTGGCTGGGTCTGTGACTGTGACTCTGGCTGTGACTCGTGCTGTGTCTCAGCTAACATGTTGGCATTGGCATTCGCATTGGCATTGGCATTGGCATTGGCTGGGGGCTTACTACTGCACGGACTATCGGCAGTTGTGGTTGTGGTGGTTGTTGTTGTTGTTGGGTCGGTTATAGTAGTAATATCTTTAATCCTACAATAAAATGCATATATAAACAAATCAAAACAAACAAAAATAACAAATGCCAAATTAAAAGACATGCCCAAAGGATGCTACGACCTAAGACTGTAATAGCAACCAAAAATCGCAGTTCTACATGGGAGCAAGGATGCTAATAGATTAACTACTATCAAACTACAAATGGGGAAGTAAGGAAAAGGATGAACGACACACTAATAAGAAAAATTCCTAACATTTTTGATGGATAGACAAATAATCTGCCTCACTAAAACACTTGCAACAAATTGTTGCCCCTAGAAACTAGCGCTTGAGTAAGAATTTACAAACCCTACCAACACATGAAACATAACACAGAAATATTATATTAATTTTATATTTCGATATAATATTAATATAAACTATAACAAAAACCAACCCAAATCTGAATAAAATTAAGTAATAATTTCCCAGTCAGACACAAAAATCGAAAAGGAAATAATATTTTATATTTTCAGAGTTAATATTAAAATATTAAAGAAATATTATTTTATATTTACAGAATTAATATTAAAATTTATTGAAACCCAGAAGTGGGAAGATCAAGATCAAGACCTACTAAATCATTCCTTACAAATATCAAACAGTGACGTAAAAAGACTCTTCTAATCATAAATACAAAATGAGTAATTACTCATCTATTTGCTCTCTCCAAGAGTTCATTAACACTACACAATGACTCACAATCAATTAGGCAGATAAAATGCCTCCTTTTACGCGTAAAATACTTATTAAACATTAAAGTTCAATCTTTTAGTTCACACACAAAAAAATAAAAAACTTTTGCCATCAAAACAAAAATTATAATTTATAAAATGCGGTTTCAAGCAATAACTGTTATTGGTAAGTGGCAAGTGATAAGCAAACAGCTTCAATAAAGACACTGAAGTGGGGGATAGTAAGTAGTAGCCCCCTCCCCTCCATCGACACCTGTCAATTGGTTTTGTGGGAGAGACAATATCGCTGAAGCTGATCATCGTTCCCAGTAATTTGGCTTTTAATTAATTTCCTTTAATTGTTTCACGCCACAGATAGCACACACACACACACAGACACACACACATTGGAAATTCTAATCAACTTTTTGGATGCTTTTTCCATACCAGAGAACGCGAGGCGCTCGCTTCTTTTTGCGCCATTTCCCGTTCAACATTATAGCAATTTTGATAGCAATACTATGGCTATGGTTGGCTATGGAAATGTATTTATTATTTTCAATTAGACATGCTCTTGCCTCAGTGGACTGCGACAGAGTGGTGTATCAATTGCCATTCAACGATGGTAATCAATTCTATTGTGTACTATTTTTCTGTGTTTCTGTTTCTGTGAGCTTTTGCTGAGCCTCTGTCTGTCTGTGTGGGTCACAATTGTTTATTATTTTCAATATATATATGCATACAAACATATATACTTATAGGCCCGCCAGCATGTATGTATACCATTTAGTGGTGATAAGAACGATAAGATATTCGCTTCTTTCTAGCTTTGATAAAGCAATCTGCCAGATGTTAATGGTCAGACCCACAGTCGTCGCCCACTCGTACAATATTTGTGCAAACACTAAAGTCTCATACAATCAAATTTGTATGCCTTACAAAGCTGATGGTAAGCCTTTAACCGACTTTTAAGTACTGCTAAAGCGGTGGGCACGTATCCAATAGGACACGGCGCACATTGATGCTCGGACTCGAGACGCACAAGCGAAGTCTGCCAAAGAGAATACCTGAGAATTGCCAAAACAATATACAATGCGTGTGCATGATTCGAAAACTAGAGTTTACTGTTACTGTTGTATTTGAACTGAAAAAAAATGTATTTGAAAAAAAAAACTGAACCCCCTGCTGATCTACACAACAAGAAAGAAAGCCTAGTTTTGGGATGAAAAAGCTTCTGACACTGATCGTTAACAAACATTTTAGCCAGATAAGGCCAACCCACACTTGATTATCTTTTTATGGGAGTACGCCAATCCAATGGGTTCCGACTTTGCCACACAAAATAGCAGCTGGATTGCATGGAAACAGACTGATCGAAAGTGGCAATATCAGAGCGGCTGCTGATCAATAATACACGTGTACACGTTTATCTCATGCCATGCCTGGCACACATCTGCTCAAAATACCCTCTGCTAGTTTAATGATATATTAATAATTATTAGGCGCCACATCTGTTTCGATTTGTATTGTTCAAGCAATATGTGAATTATAGAACGACCGCACTCGGGGGTTACGGAATTGCTTACGGAATTACACAGTACGTTTGTACCCGAGGATTGTGTCTTGTTATGGATTATGGAAATAAATACAGATTTCGGTCAAAGATTAGTTGTTACGATTTTCTATTTGGACATTCAGTTAGAGGGCATTGGGACTTGGACTGTTTTGCAAAAACAAAATACATGTCATGTGCGTGACGAGGGCTCATTGATTCTCCTAATTCCCAACGTTGAACTAGGGAGATTAGAACCCTTAATAAATGATTTTTATATCCAATAATAACCATTTTCTATGTAATTATCGCTTCCACTATTTTTGTGTTCAATATTAATGACATATTTTCTCTGTTTAGTGTGCTCCATTCTTTGTATAAAGATTGTATTCCCGATCGGCTCTAGAAATAACTCAAAACCTCAGGCCTTATCAATGTCCCCCCGTTCAAGTTCATAGCAAAAGTGAAATATTGTATACATTGTTGAGATGAACATCATTCAAGCCCCCAACCGAACAGCACAAATACGAAACGGGGAATTGTATAAACAAACAAAAATAATGGAGTGTACAGGAACCATTAAATGATAATTCCCCTTTATTAAGTACACATGTATGAATGTATATAGTATATACGTTATGCGATTACGAAAAAGTCACTTTCAATGTGAGAAAGATCAGAGATAATGTACCATATATATGTATGTATGTATGTAGTATATAGAAACTCTCTTCATTGAGCAATTAAACATACATATACGACGAGTGTTTAAGAAAGTTTCAGTGTGAGAATAATTCCCCCCCCAGATAACAGATTAGTAAAAATAGACTCTGAGAAAGATGTGGAGATAAGAGGAGCTGAGAAATTTTTGGGTACAAATTATCTGGCTAGCATATTAACTGATAAATGAAGTACGAAACAATTGAAATAATCTTAAAATGGATACGATAAATCATTGAAATTGTTTTGAATAATTGAGTGGAAATTTTTTAGAGGGCAAATGTAGATGAGATTCCTAGGAAAAATGCTCTATAGAAAATAATAAACCAAATATATATGTATATACATATATATATGTACATATATAGTATATATCAATTATTGTAGTTGCCATCGATGTAATTGAAAGTGCAGCCGACTACACTCACCTCTCTCGCGGCCCCGTTGAACTCTAACCTTTGCGTTAGTCTAGCCATAAAAAACTATATTAGCCACATAAAAAATGTATTACAATTATTAACAGCAACTGACAACAAGTCGCAGAGAGGGGGGTGGGGCAGATCTATTCTGCATATATGCATATATCTGAAAGCGGGCAACGACTTTGTCAAATCGTAATTAATATTTTCCCTTTCCACCTCAAAATGCAACAAGACTGGGGGACTGGCGAAAGACTGGCGAAAAATCAATAATAAAGTGGGTAAAATCAAAAAAAAAAAAACAAAAAAAAAGTGTATTACATTTTCTTTCTTTTGGTTTTCTTTGGTTCCACGTTTAGGGTTTTCCTATGCGGTTTTTTTGGTTCCTCGTGCGGCATTGCTGTTGCTTTTGTTGGCCGTTGTTACTGTGTGTGTGGGGAGGGGGGTTTGGTTCTTTTATTGTTGGGGGGTCGCCGTCACAATGTATGTCATCGTTCGAAGAACCGAAACAGAAACAGAACACAAAGCCAGAAAGCACAAACGAGCGAAATAAACAGATGACGAAACGTGAAAACGCGACGTGAAAATAAAATATATTCTATTTTTAGCACTGTTTTGGCGAAATGTCATTAATTTATGAACTATCCCACATTTTAGCAGCACTATGACATGCCCCGCGAAACCGCAACCGTTTTGCTGTTAATTATTTAATTAATTTTTTCTGCTACTCTGTTCCGTTTTGTTGTTCTTTTGCTGGTTGATTTGTTTGTTTGTTTGTTTGTTTGCTGACTGTTTGAAGGCACGCGAGGCGGGGCGGTTCAAGGCAGTTTGTACTTGTGCCGGGCACGTCATTTCAGCGCGACGTTACAATTTGCACTCGAGAGAGAATCGGCAATAGCTGCCAGAGAACGGCAGGCACCCACCAGGCAGGCAGCGAGAATGAGCAAGACTTATGCGAGGCGGCTACTGGTCGACTACTGCATACGCTAGAAGCAGTTGCTTTGTTCCTCGGAACCTCAACAAAGGTTTCTTCTGATAAAGAGAGTAACCCACATACATAAATGTATATAAATGTATTTGCTGGAATAAATATATTCCGCACCTTCTCGCACAATCTGCTTTTCCACACAGTATCTGTATCTGCCAAGCCAAGCCAAGCCCAAGGCTAGTCGGAAAAAGTTTGTTTTTCGTTATTCGTTCATTCATGGTTACATGGAAAACGCTTCGCTGCACTCGCACAAATTTTGATACGATTATATACATATACGTACATATGTATATGCGATTATGCACATACAGTGCGTTTCAAAGGTTTAAAATTAAAACACTTGTTGGCAAATAACATACGATGCGAAAATTCAAATAAGAATTTTCCGTCAAAGAGCTGCGTCAGGTTTGTAGCAAAATGATGTCTTCCAGCACCCACAGCTGAATAAGTCCAGCCAAATTATTATATTTTATATTCTACCGTTTCTCTGCCGCTGCGCTGTCGCCAGTTCGCCTACATAACCAAACTAGAGCAAATATTTCTCTTGCTCACACTGCCCTGCCTGCTTTTCACATAAAGAAGGTTTTTGTTGCTGGTCTCCTGATGGTTAGTTCTAGAAATCCACACTTATTTAATTTTTGAAAAATAATTGTAGCATTCATTTTAATTTATTGAATCAATTAATTCATTAAAACAATTTAGAATTCGGTCATTATTTTAGTTTTTGGGGTTTTCTTGCTGCTTTTCGAAGCTAACAACATTATATTATCCCAAACTTATATGAAATCAAATTATATGAGCTAATTTTGTTGATCACTGATTACGTTTAATAGAATTTTGTGTGTTTTAACAACAAGTTAATGCCATTAGGGAGTTCATTTGATACATAAAAAGGGGTTAAGGAATTCCAGAAACGACTAAAAAAAATCTATTTAGATTAATTTATCATATGATATCAATTTGATAATGGAACATTTTAATTATTTTCTGGAAGTGGAAAAATCTTCTCAACTGCCTAAAATCGTACTACTGCAAGCACCAAAAACTATTCCATCTTGTTAAGAAAATGGCCAACAGTCTGGAATAGCACAAATAGCTAAATAAACACATTTAAAAAGACCTTACCACCATGAAACCCACAGTACTCTTTTGATACGTCTGAGCGCGCAACTGTTGCGCAATAAAAAAGAAAAAAAAAAGAAGTAAAACGGGAGCTAATGCAAGAAGTAAACGGTTTTGTGGGGTAAGCAGACTACAAAGTAGACTGGGAGCGCAATATGGGTATTATCACTGGAGTGACTGGTAGATAAGCCAACTGAAAGGAATGGAATGCTATATACGAGTATAGCGTATGTATAACGACATGCAATATGAGGAGCAAGAGGGAAGGAGTAACTTTTAAACATGCAAACCAGCAAATAAACCTACACCACAAATAAATATGCTTAGCTTTTAATTATATTTAAAAGTCTTTTTGGGTTGGCAGGTGGCACACAGTTAGGGTAAAACACTCACATGGGCGTCGCGTTCAGGCTGACAGTGCGTTTGTGCCTGTGTTGCTGTTGCTGCTGGCTATGGTGGCTACTATGATGGTGGTGGTGGTGTGACGACTGGCGAAATATGCTTTGAGCTGTGGCCAAGGATTTGGGCAGGGCACCTTGGCTGGAAGATTTGCACAGGGCCACAAAACGGTTGCTGGCGCTGACCGATGGTGCCGATGATGTGGATGCTATCGAGGAATTCGAGGAGGAGGTCGATCTCTGCTGTTGTTGTTGTTTTTGCTGTTGGTGCTGCTGCTGTTGGCGCTGCTGTGTGACAAAATGCATGACAACACGGCACACGTTGCCGTTGCCGCCCCACAATTACAGTCTCTCTCGTTTGTCTGAGATTTATTTAGTTTATTATTATATTTAAAGTGTTTTTAGCGGAGGCAATTTGCGTAGTCGTCGTCGTCGTTGTCCAGCAACAACGGTACTCGGCTCTCCGCTATGCTCTGCTCAGCCGCTGTCCACTGCCTATCTCTGCTGCTGCTGCGCCGCTGCTGACGTCTGCGGAAGTTTCTTTTTATTTTTGTGGTTTTTCATAGTTAAAACACTGCCACTTTATGCTCTTTGATGTCTACATGTTATGTGGAATCGATCGTTTACACTCGAATGTTTTTTTGTATTTATTCGTAAGTGAGATTCATGTACAAGTGCGTATAAATTCTTTCGTTTCCTTTCCGTTTTTTCACTTTTTTTGCGCATAAAAGGTATACGTCGTGGCTAGGGATGTCGAGGGTTTCAGTGTGCAGACGCCGCTGTACTCGAGTTCATTACTCCCGTCACTTTTATGACTCAAAAATAATTAAATATATTTCCTAATTTCCCCTTATGTTGTTTCCATGATTCGTGGTGTTTTTCAGTCAATAAAATGTGTATATAATAATTGCTGGCAATTGCCGGCACCATGGCAACTCCCGGCCACAGCTGTTTATCGCACATCTCTAAGCGATGTGTCACGTATCGATAGCACGGCAACTGCACGTCCACGCCGGTGATTTTCGTGAAAACGGCGTTCAAAACTAATTTAAATTATTCAAAAATTTAACAATCTTTATTTTATTAATATCACAAGAAAATTAGAATACACAACACATATTTTTTGTTTATAAAAACGTTTGCTCTGCCGCATGGACTCGGTGGGATGTCTATTGTAGGCGCTGAAAGAGAGAGAGAATAATCGAATTTTAAATTGGAAACGAAACTCTACGACACATGTTCAGGGAATTAATGGAGCATTTGAAGGATCATATACGACACAAATGATCCTTCAAATGGAATGTCTTAATAATACTCAGGCAAGAAACCCATTTGGCGTTAGTACAATGCTCGAGTTGCCGCTTTTGAGAAGTCCACGAATGAGAGCCAAATCGTCGGGCGTCAGGGACCAGCCGGTCAGCTGCCCGACAGATTGCAGTTCCGGGCAGCTGTCCAAGAGTAACTGCCAAAGAGAACACAAACTTAAGCAAGGGAAATAATCGAAGCAATCGAAATGTTCACCTCCACAGCCTGAACGGTGAGCTCTGGGGCCAAAGTGAACCAAATATCTTCCAGAACTTTAAAGTCATGCTGCACAAACATGCTACAAAGAAAGAATTAGGCAATGATCCCGCAACCAATCTGCTCCTACCTGATTATATCCTCATCGGTGAAGTCCACCGTATCGACGGCCATGCGCTTGAGGTCCGTGCAATTGCAGAGAAACGTCTTGAGGGAGCTCGTCATAATGGCACTGCTGAGAATTTCCAAACCCTCCAGCTCCTGGAATTTGGACTGTGCCTGACCGTACGACAGGCTTTCTATCAAATAGCAGTCGAGATCGATCAGCGCGGGGCAGAGGCGCGCCAGCTTGCCCAGCTCCAAGTTCCCTGAGCCCTTGATCATTGTCAGGTGTCGCAGATTGCGGCCAATGGGCCGCTCCAGCAGGGGCAGCAGCTCGGCCACCACAAACCTATTGATCTTCAGCTTTCTGAGGGTGCGTGTGTGCAGTGCCCGCAGGGAGCCCGTCTTGGGCGAGTCCAGGTAGAGGGTCTCCAGTCGCGGACACGTCTGCATAATCACCTGCAGCGTAGCCTCATCCGTGGCCGTGTCGTGCACATACCTAAGCTGGCACTTGAAATGATCATCGACATTGTCAAATATAAACTTGAGGGAGGCGCCCACAAAGGAGTACGTGGACAGCGTCTCCACCTGTGGACAGTGCTCGAGTATGAGGGCAATGTCCGAATAGCAAATGTTCTCCTCACCGGGCATGCCCACGTCCACAACAGTCAGGGACTGCGAACAGACGCCCTTGGCCAGCACATCAATGCCAATCTCTGTGATGTCCGTCTCCCCGGAGATGTCCAGAATTTGCAGGCGCGTCGACCATTTGCCAATCTCCTCCAGCAACTGATCGTTGGCTATGTATGGCACATAGAGCTTCACCAGCTGCTTGCAGCGTCTCACAATGTCGTACATGTAGTGCATGTGCTCCTCCTTCACCCAGATGCCCTTGATGTTCAGCACGCGCAGGCCAGCGCCCTGTGCAGCAATCACCTGCGAAATGGAAGGCCAACTTATAGCCAAGATCCTGCAGGGGATCTGTGCAGCAGCATAATTACCTGAAGGATCTTCTCGTAATAGCTGAACGGAAAGACCTCCGTGAACAGAAAGGTGACGCCACAATTGAGCAGCATTTGCAGGCAGGTGAACCGCATGTTGGCATCCAGATAGTCCGAGCTGAGAATGACCCGCAGCAGATCCTGGTATATGTTCGATGTGGCGCCCGACTGGGCCAGATACTCGTTCAGCTCGACCATCACAATGTTTATGTCCAGATGGACATCGGGCGCATACTGCACATAGCTGATGGTGGACACCAGCAGATTGGCCAGCTCGGCCAGAGCCGAGTCGCTCAGCGAGCGCACGCTGCACTTTTTCGACATCGTAAACAAAATGCGACGCAGCTAAAACACACACAACACAACACACAGGCGAGGCAAGCAGATCGATTGAGGAGGACTTTTTCTGCGGTTACATCACTCGTTGGGGATCGCTTAATGGCTCAATGGTTGGTTGGTTGGTTGGTTGGCTGGTTTGGGGCGCAAACTTTCCAAACCCTGCTTCCGACTGACTAGTTGGCGATTTTCCTCGTTTGCCTTTGCATGCACATATATATTCTTTATATTTATAAACAAAAATAGATTCTAAAATTATATATATGCGATGGAAACTGTTTTCGCGCTGCGGGCAGAGAGCGGGCTACGTGCCAAACGTATGGACAGCGCGAGGCAGACTGAGAGCCAATAGTTTTGCACAGCCAGAGGCAGAGGCAGCGCCAGCGCCAGACGACACATTTGTGGCTCTACCGCTTTGCTCCCGGGGATACTTTCGGTCATTTATAATAGATATACGGTTTATGGAATACTAAGAGAGAGATTGGTCCGGCCTAAGCTTGGTTGAGTCTAAGGATGCAGGTAGCTGGGCAGCTTCATGCGCATAAACAGCCACGTGGTGAAGAAGGAGACCAGTATGAAAATGAATCCCATGGCGGTCAGGAGCAGTCGATTGAGATTCGTCTTGCCGGGCGCATGCGTCTGGTCCATTATGATGAAGCCCAGGCCGCCGACGGTGAACAGGAAGCTGCTGGCCAGTCCCTCCATGATATATTGTCCGTTCACCCGGTAGGGCATAAAGGCCACAGGACGCGAATGGCCGTGCTCATCCACAGTGGCACCCACGCTGGGCGGCTCCACTATCACATCATAGATAATGCCTAGAAAAGGATTCGATTCGTTTATGGCTATGCCAACTGTAGCATTTTTGTGTACTCACCGCCGGTCACCAAAAAGTAGGAGAGCAAAATGACACTGAACACAGCCATGGGGGAGGGCATGGGGATGCTGAACCGTCGCACTTTGATGTTGGGCGGCACCAGTATGTGGAAGGGGAGGCTGTACAACGTCTCAATCATGGCTGCGGCTTCAGATATTAACCACAATTAATGTAAATAAATGTTTTTCTTTAGTTTGGAGGTGTCAAACCAAAGAGGGCACTATCGATAGTATCGATATTTTGCTGCTGTCCTCTACTATCGATGAGTTTGAGACTATCATGATAGTATCGAGCTACAGTCGTTGCGCTTTTGATATGTTTGGATTGGCTGCTATAAAATACGAAGACACATTTGTAAACAAATCGACAGGTGGCATCTAATTTTTACAATGGACAAGTTCCTAAAAGGTTTCAATGGTTTTTTAATAATTATTTGAGCCCGATACTATCACGATAAAAGACACCGGCGTAGGCGTGTAGGGTGCAGAGCTATCGATATGCCAGTTGTGAAGATGTGCGATATATTTTTAAAAGTCACGGTGTGACAATATATTCAATTATTTTATCTAAAGAATGTAACAAAACTTTTACCGTTGGTTATGTGCTAGCAATTTAAATATAATGCATTAATTCGTTTGAAGAAATTCAAAATAAAGAACAATTGGCGCGCCCAATCATCGCTTTGAAAACATTTTGCTGCTACTATCGAGTACTTTTGTGGTCACACTGCTCCTGGCCAATACCAATAACGATAGCCGGCCTATCGATGCACAAATGCAAGCAACAACAAATAAAACGCAATTCCGACAAAAAATTAAATTGAGTAACACAAATTAAACAAGCATGGCAGATGCCAATGCATATGAAGCAGGTACGTGGACGGCACTGACTATTGAAAACGAATGACAATGGCGTTTGGTTGCAGTTCTATTGCCCGCAATTGCCAAGAGAGTGCAAAATATTGGCGACCTAGCACTGTGGCAGCGTTCCCGCGCCTACCATGATCTGATTGGATACATCAACGGCACCAGCTCGGCCATACAGGGCATCAAGTCCACCGACGCCATGTACGAGTCGGACATGCTGCGCAAATTGTTGCGCATCTTCGAGCAATTGGAAAAGTTGGTCGAAAAATATCCGCCCTTGGATCAGCCGCAGCGCTTTGGCAACAAGGCCTACCGTGACTGGGCCAGGGACATGCGAGAACAATTGCCGGAGCTGCTGGGACAACTACTGCCGCCCAGCAAGCAGAAATATCTGAACGAACTGCAACAGTATCTGACGGAGGCCTTTGGCAATGCCACGCGCATCGATTATGGCACTGGACACGAGCTGTCCTTTATGTTTTTCCTGTGTGCGCTGTTCAAGGCCGAAATACTGGACGAACAGGACATTGTCAGTGCTGCACTGCGCCTGTTCAGTCGCTATTTGGAGTTTGCCAGGCAATTGCAGCGCACATACAACATGGAACCAGCTGGCAGTCAGGGTGTCTGGTCGCTGGACGATTTCCAATTTGTTCCCTTCATCTGGGGCAGTGCACAACTCTCGGGCAAGCAAACGGCAATAGTTAAGCCAAAGATTTCTATTCATAGCTGCTTGTATTTTCTGGTTTGCAGTCCGCAGTCCCTTCGATCCGGCCAAATTTGTGGAGGAGCAGATCATCAGCGACTACAAGGATCAGTATATGTTCATCAGCTGCATTGATTACATCTGCAAGGTGAAGACGGGCCACTTTGGCGAGCACTCCAATCAGCTGTGGAGCATTACGGACGTGCCCTCGTGGGTCAAGATCAATATGGGTCTGGTCAAAATGTACCAAAAGGAGGTGAGCAGCCTACCTAAAGCCCAGCGCGTTCTTGCAAGCTTTATTTTCTTTCCGCAAATCCTTCGTTTTAGATACTCTCGAAGTTTCCGGTTATTCAGCACGTCTTCTTTGGCGAGCTGATGTCCTTCGAGACGGTAACCGCTGGCACAACCATCACTAGCGCCCGACTGGGCCATGTGGCCGCACCGCCGTCGAAGCGTAAATGCATAGTGCCCACCTTGGTGCCACAAGCGCCACAAACACAAGCGCCACCACCGCCGATCGATGCTCTGGCCAACGATCAGAATGCGGGCGATTCGAGTAGCGAGAGCAGCGACAGTAGCGTTGTCCTGCGCCCATCGGCATCGGCCTCGTCGGCTTCGCTGGTGGCCGCCGCCGAGGGATCCGGTGACAATTTAAATGAAATACCCAAGGAGCCAGCCGCCGAGTAGTAGCAGATGATGACGATCCCCCAAACCTGTGTTACAAATCTCTTATTAATAGCGTTGCCATTTACTCCAAAATAAATTGCTTATAAATGTGAGTTGCATTTGTCTTTTGACGTCTAGGCAGCGCCAAAGCTGGTTTTGGATTGGCATTGAGCTTAAGCAGTGGCACTAGGAATATTTAGGATTTAATATTGAGTTTAATTCCACAAAAGAAAATTAATTCAATATAATTTCAAATATTTTCTGCAGGCTGCCAAGACGGCTTGAAATTTTGTTTATTTTTGTCGGTTTAGTGGTAATTTTTACTGGCGAGCATTGCAGGCACTTTTGTGATTCAAATATTGTATTTCAGCTATGCTGAAACCTGGAACAATTTATAGACTATTTATACGGGCAACATCGACGGATTACATACGGACTTCTTCTTCGGGACTCATCGCTTCGCTGAGCTTTAATAACTCTAAGCATATTTGTCTAAAGGATTGTCTAAAATCCACAGGCTATTCCTAAGCCATAAATATAAAGTAATTAAATGTGCTGCTGTGCGTGTCTCTGGGTTTGCGGTTGCCGCTGCTGTTGTTGTGTTTCTTAGGGTTTCGTTTTCTGTTGTTTGTTGGCAGATGCTTTGGGGTCGGTACTGGTGTTCTGGATGGCGTGTCCCCGGTGCTGTCCACCGAAGGTCCACATCTCCTCAAAGGCTGCCATTAGTCCGAATTTTCATATAAATTCTTGCCATGCACCTGTGGGAAAGGGCGGGGGCATAAAGGAATCTTAGCTGGCTGAACTACTGGGGTATTTCCGCTCTTTAAACTCTACTCACACGGGGCTTCGAGGGGCGTGTCTTTTTAACCTGCTGTTGAATCTCCTCATCGCTCTCTGTAGATGGAAGAAAGATTAATAAACGTTTACTTCCAGCTGCCAAGTGCTAACATACCGTCGTCCTTGTTGGGCTGGGCCTTCCTGCCACCAACTGACTCATATTTTCCAGTCAATTGGGAGCCACCGACTGGATCGTTCCCTTTCTTCTGCTCTTGTTTTGACTTCTTTAGGACGGACATGTTAGCGGTGAGCTCTCGGATCTCATTCTCAATACCTTTACGCTTCTGATCGAGGAGTTCTTCCCTGGCAGTGAGCTTCTCCACGGCGCTGATCAGCTTCTGCTTCTCCAGCACTATCTTGCTGCTCTGCTTCATTAAGTTACGCAGCTTGGAGAAGGCAATGTCTATTTTCGATTGGCTGATGATCAGCTTCTCGTTGAGATCTTCATCCGAGCTGGACTCGCTCTCCGTCTCGCTGGTGTCCTCGCTCTCCGTGACGCTGGAGTTCTCGCTGGACGAGTCGCTGACTTGCTGCACTTTTGTGCTGGCCGAGCTGCCGTGGGCGACCTGTTTACCCCGTTTTGTATCATTCTTCAGCGTGGAGATCTCATCGGTGAGCGTCTGGATTTCTGCCTCAAGCCCCTTTATCTTTTTATCAACTTCTCGTCGCTTGGCATTGAGCTTCTCCTCGTTGGCCCTCACTTTCTTTATATCTTGGGTTATCTTGCGATTCTCTTCGATGAGATCGCGCATTCGCGAACTGGCAATCTCCACCTTGGACTGGCAGATTCTTATCTTGGCTCTGACCTCTTCGTCCATGTCGGAATCGCTCTCCGTGTCGCTGGCGTCGTCCGATTCGATGTCCACTATTATTTCGCCGTAGAGTGCTTCAAAGGTGTGCTCCAGCTTCTTGCACATGATCACGACATCATGATGTGCCGGATTGTACGTGTAGCAGTTGCTGAATATTAAACGCACATCGGCCGCAAACTCTGCCAAGTTATTGTACCCGCGATTGTGCATTTTGCGCTTCACGGTGCCCAGATCCATGGGCTGCTTGATTATGTCGTGGTAGTCGAACAGTCCCAGATTCTTTGCGTCCACCGGATTGTAGAAGGGCCAGGCATAGCCCGAGTGCTTCTTGCTGAACAGCACCTGGAGTATCTCTCCGCATGACTTGAGCTCCCGCGCGAGTCGCTGCTTGAGCCGTGCCGCTGCGACGCTCGATAGGCCTGGCTCCAGCTTCACCGCGGGCGCAGCTGCATTTGGCTTCCGCTTCAGCTCTGGCACTAAGCCTGGCTCGGGCTTGACCTCTGGCATTAAGCCTGGCTCGGGCTTCACCTCCGGCAGCGACATTAAGTATTGCTCCAGCCTCTTTTCGGGCAGCGAGAGCACGCCCGGCTCCTGCTTCACTTTTCGCAGCGCTGAATTCATTGAATTAACCTTCTCTGCGTAAAGAATCGAACGAATATTATTTGACTTAAATAGTTTGTTAGTTTTCACTCACTTTTTGATTGATTCGCTTTTGCTTTTTTGTGTTATATTTCGAGTAATTTGCTCCAAACCAAAATTTGACGCCGTGAAAGATCTGGAAGCTGACGTTTCAGAAAGAACTGGAACCAGTTCGCCATCTTTCCAATGCATACACATGCATACATATATGATTCCAGGCCTGTGTTCAGCGAGACGCTTAGATGTGTTTATGTGCAAATATATATACATATAAACATATATGTCTTGTTAACCATGCGGCTTAGTACATAAGCCGAATATTCAAGAATAAACTTAGAAAATAAATCTAGACTGTGTGACCAAAGACGCCAAAAATCTGCGTTTTCTTCTGTGGGCGACGGGTGTTATAATCCCACTGAAAGTCAAATTTAAGCTATAGCTCGATACTCATAAATACATACATATGCACAGCCAAGATATTATTAAAATATAAATATATATATATTGCATGATTTTTGTATAATTTTTCGTAGTGCTGCCGCATAGCAACACTGGCCTCAAAAATCAGCTGGCACACACATATGTACATAAATGTAAATTTTGTCTGCACATTTTCCATTTAAAGTGTAATTAGAATACGCACTAAGTAGCTTGAAATGGAGTTTATTTGATTTCACAACTTGTTCCACATATATGTAATTATCGAGTGTATATAGAGTGCTCTATATACGGTGCTTATATTTTTCATGCTGCCATGTTACGGGCCTGGGCACGTACGCGCTTCGTGTACTCGTTGATGTTTTTAGTGTAGATGGTAAAGGCCTCTGCCTGGGCCGGATCTCGTATGTTGGGAGAGTTTAATAGTTCCTGTATGCCCAATAGGATCTGCTTAACGGTAATGACCGGGCGCCAGTCCTTGTCTTCATCGAGCAGCGAGAGGCACACAGTGCCCGACGGATAGACATTCGGGTGAAACAGAGGCGGATCGAAGCGGCACTTGGGCGGCGATGTTGGATAGTCGTCCTTGAAGATCATGCGCAGCTTGTAGAGGCCACCCTCCCAGGCGGTATTTGCCTGGCCGGGAATGCCGCACTCCCAGATGTAGAGGTTAAGGGTCCCATCGGAGTTTTTGGCTGGGCGCGCAAGAAAGCCAAAGAGTGGCTCTCGGCGCCAGGCTCGGCGCTCCTCGGACAGACGAGATTCCGCTATACCAGACATCTTCAAATTTTTTCTGCAAAACAAATCTTGTGATTGTAGATCTTGCACTCCCTTTTTTTTGTCGCTCTTACCTCTTACCTCGTAAAAATTTGATCTGTTGTACGGTGCGAGTCCGATTTGCTACTGACTGACTGACTTTTCGTCGTTCACCTCTATAGCTGTGCCTCTTGAACCGTGAACTGGAATCAGTTCGCCATCTTGAACTATGGGCATTTTATTAGGTCATATAGGCCATATAAATACAAAATTATATATTTTGACAGGGTTATACATGCACCGATAATGCATTTATTTTAAAATAAAAAAAAGGAACACTACTATAATTTCCAGTTGATGCAAGGAAGCGGTGCATTCGGTGCTGCCAACTTTTCATCCGAAAGAACAGCTGTTTCTAGCTTAAAAAAATCTGAAAAAAACTAAAAGCAGTAGCTTAATATACGGTTCTAACAATTGTTTTAGTGGGGTATATGCAATATGTTTTTTTATGGTATTTCCATTACCTGTTTTAGCTCTGTGGGTTTAGCTTCAGATTCGCATTAGTACGGTAATGGAAATGGTCGGTAATATTTGTGCAGTATTTATATTTTTTTATGTTGATTTTATTACCATTGACGCTGACGTTTGGTGTAGTAATTATGGTTTGCCTTAAACTAGTTGTTTTGGTATTGGCAAATATCGATATAAAATAATGAAGAACCTGGCACTTTGTCAAACTTTTTATGTGATCAGTGGCACCATTAAAAAATGCGGAACTAGCCAAATATTCCTAAATTCCCGCTTCCCGCTGTTCCCAAATATTTCCCCTTAGTTGGGACGGTAAAAAAGCTAAGTCGGCAGCACAAGTCGCAATGGAGTTTTGTCGTTTGTCTTCGGGTCTGGTGCATGATGCAATTGTATAAGGTGGTCTCTTCTTCCCAATCGCAACATTCCAAATGAGCAGCAGGAACTCTCCGGAACCGGACGAATCGCGCTGGCAGCGTTGATCAAAGATTATTTTCATAAACGCATACTCGACATCGGCCCCCACTGCACTCGCCTGGCAGAGGAAATCTCACATTTTTTTAAGGCCGAAGACAAAAATTACTGGGACAATTCGCTTCGGTACGGTACGGCAAAAATGGCCGAGCCGAAATAGAGTCAGGCTATAAAATAATCAACAAAGTCTACCACTGCTCATTTGATCGTTTGTGCGGATTTAAAACAAAATTTAAATATCATTTGACGTCACACCTAAAAGCGCACAGGGGTGTAAAAAATTTTGCCTGCGAGTAAGTATATGAAACTTCAAAATATTTATATTTATATTTATAAATTTATACCTTTTTCCAGACTTTGCCCTGCTAAATTTGTGCAATCTTCCAACATGAAGAGGCACATGATGTATAAGCATTCAAGCCAAAAAAATTGTTCTTGCAATGAATGCCCAATTGTGGTGAAAACAGCGGAGTCGCTTAGGAAGCATGAAACAACTGTTCATGGACATGGGCAGTCGAAAACATGCGAAGTTTGCAACAAGAACTTCACCTGTTCGGATCGCCTGAGGACTCACCAGGCAAAGATTCATTCAACTCCCGAGGACCGCCGTAAATATTTTTGCGAATTGTGCAATAAGCATGGACAAAATGTTGCTTTTCACAGTTTCACCAAAGAGCATCTTAAGAGGGTGCAAATGAATGAATCATTGAATAATAAAAAAAAATAAAAATTAAATAAAACAAACTTTACTTTGTTCCTTCTACTTTAGGGTCTTAAACTCGGATTATAATTCGCTCTACTCTACCATATAATATCCACTACTAATCCCCTTCCTCTTCTTAAATTACTAATACTAACATACCTTTCCTCTAATTAGTATTAGTTCTTAGCTATCTTTGCATGATTAGCTCTTTTAGTTTGTCTAGCTCTAATTGCAGTTAACTTATTTGAATTGCGCGCAATAAAAAAGAGCAATAAAAAATACTGGCAACCAACACTGATATATATATATAATAATACAACACTGATATAGTTTTGCAACTCAGCCGAGATTTGCAACTCAGCCGAGATGCAACGTACTTAACGATGAGGAGATTGTGAAAAAGGTTTAGAGCTTCGTGTTGATTACATTTTGATTATGTTTGATTGCAGTTTTGCATTTGAATCGTTCGGTTTTTAGTCCCTTAACGTTCAGTGCGTGCTCGCCTGTTGGAGAGAAAGATTTAGAATTAAGAGCCTTAACAAAAGAATATCTATCCAAAAAGAAAAACCACGTTTAATTTTAAATTCAAAATTATTAGAAATTAAATAATAAAAAAAATCAACTCTTTCTAACACGCTCATTGTTGTTTCACTCACACTTACTGCGCTGAGCCTTTTCACTCGCACATATTGTAAACATTGTTAAGGATCTAATTTTGCCGAAGAGACCACCTTAAATAATTGCAGCATGGCTGAGCCTTGCTCTGGGCTGCTGGAACGACTACAAGATAATCAAAAAACCTATGCAAAGGGAAACAGAGACTACACTACATATATTATTTACGAGTACAAATAAATATATTTATACAGGAAAGGAAATTCCGTACTTATAATATACTAGAAAAACCCATGGTCATGGTGACCTTGGGCCTTGTAAAAATATACATTGAATTTCAAAGTCTAAAACCTTTCACGAGAACGCTCCCAAGCTACGCCAAAAATATATTTCACTTAATTTAATGCACATTTTTCACACCCAACAAAACCAAACTTCAAAATGACAAAAACTGTGTAAGTCTTAAGCCGGATTTGATGGAAACAAATGTACAGTAATCCCCCCCTGAAGCTCCGACAAGCAAAATGTAAGCAAAACAAAATCAATACGGCAAATGAGGCATGCAAATAGATGAACTTGCATCAACTTTGGCTGGATGGCTTTCCTCTCCTCCCCCATCTTATTGTAAAATAAAACAGCAAAGTGGCAAAAGTATAAAACAAAAAACTTTTGTCGGGTACTCCCCGCCCCGAAAGCATAATCATTTATTTTCGACACATCATTTATCAAGCTGGGCGCCAGGAAGCAGCTTGCCACGCCCCCCCTCGCGCCCACACACCTACTTGGCATCCTTCTACCACATTTCGTCGCTTAAAAACTTTCCCCCTTCTGTAGTTTTTTTTTTTTCAGTGGTTTGTAGAGAGGGAGAGCAAGCATTAAAACTTTGCCGACGCATTTTTGATTGAAGACTCTGGCAAAACAGGAACATTTTTCGGTTTCTCTTCTGTTTGGCCGTGGTAAGAACAGGCCAACTTTGGCCATGTTCATCAATTTGACCTCATGCAGCAGCCTCGTTTGGGTGGGTGGAACAAACTGGGAACTGGCACTCCAGTGCCGGTCCACTCCGGTTCGATGTGGCGGTTCGGTTTCTGTTTTTGCAAATTGAATGAAATTCTGTGGGCGAGAGCTGCTGTCAGCGGGCGTTTCGTACAAGTCCCCTACATGATTGAAGGGCGTTTCTGTTGGCGGCGTCGGCGGTGTCGGCGGCGCTGCTGATGGATGCGCCAAGGTAGGTCCTTCGCCAGGCCACCATTTGAAGTTAGTTTTTGCCGTGTCTCTGACCCTAACGCTGTAGTCCTGTAAGTAATGGAAATATTTACCTGAAAACTGACTTCGTTGATTGGGTTTTAGATATTATTTGTAAATTAATACTTTTGGTGTGTAGGCTTAGGTACCTCTGAATATTCTAACTTGTTTAGGGCAGTAGCAGTAGCTGTAACAGAACAACAGCGCTGTTAACAACTTAGGACTGTTACTGCGACACTGTTAGCGCTCTGAAAGCTGGATGTGAACGGCAGTTAACATACAGGATTCTGGGGATAATGAAACAAATTTATAACAACACATGACTTTTTATTCTGCCTAGCTGTTTTAATTATCTTTTCAAAATAGCAAAGTTCTTTACAACCAGACGTAAGATACTAGAGTTATGTGAAAAAACCAAGCGCTACCTCTGAAAAAAGCTTAAAAAAAAAATACCAGTTTTAAAAAATTCTTTAAAAAAAAGTTTTGCCATAGAAAAAAAAAAAATAACATCAAACCATTTCTAAGCCCCAAATCTTTAAGAAAAAGTTGGTTTTGCTCCTTGAGGAAAAATCGTGCCGGGTAGTGTAATAAATAATTATCAATTAAACTTTCTGGTTCTTTATTAAAAATGTTTACCACGTTTCACTGCAAAAAGGTGCGTTGACAAGTTAAAATTTCTTGCTTGTCAGGTGACAAGTCTAGTGGCCTTCATTCTTGTTAACTGGATAGCTCAAGCTGAAGTTCTCGTGTTTACTAGCCCCAAGGACTGGGACTGGCTGCTCCTGCACTGCTTGCCAATCAGGGTGTTTGGTGTGGCAAGCTCTTTGTTCGTGTGCCATGGAAACGCCTATTAGAGACGCCTGGCTACTGCAACTGAAAGTGTAATCGAATGCATATCCATTTCTTGAATGGATTTCACTTCTCGGTGAATGATCGCAAATGGAAAGGAGAAAGGAGAGGCAGAGGCAGAGGCGGAGAGGCATCATCAATTTAAAGGGAAAATCAAATTACGGACTTTTCAGCTTCTTCTCACTTTGCTTGGGACTGCCAGGGCCTGCCAGAGCCTGCCATGCCCCCAAACCCAAAAACATAATTCACAGATTTTGCTGCTCCATCGCTCTCCTTGTGCTGTTGCCTGTCCTTCGGTGAGGCTCTGGAACAGGCAGCCATATGGCATGTACCATCTCCTATTGTTCTTGTTTCTCCTGGCATATGGGGCACACAGAGCATGTGCTGCTGCCCCCTCCTTGGGCCTCCTGCTGCTCCTCCTTGGTCACTGCTGGACTAACACAATGCGTGTGTACCGTTTGGGACGTTTAACTCTTTGGTTAGCCATTTTTAATACCCGGCATAAGTGGCATAAAGGGGCGTAACAGACAGCAGCAGACATTCTCTGGCTTCCAACGCCTTCCAGTTGCTGATTCCCAGGTACCATCTAGTCCAAATATTCTTGCCCATATGTACAATATCCTTCTCTGATGTTTGGTATTCATGATTTGGGGTCTTGTGTTCATTTTGGGTGGGCGTCAGCTGGTTAAACACACACACAACTGTAGAATGGAGTCAGATGACAGAAGGAAAACATTGTGCAACCCAAGCCGAAGAAGGACCAACAAGGAACCCCAAAACCCCCAATGCCAGAC